TGTTTTGGAGTAGGTGGCGAGAAAGATGCAAAGTCGTCAAGTTTGTCGCTGGTTTCCAATTAAAAAGGTGCCAGAAAGTTGCTAAGTTGTTGCTTTTTTTTCTAATCAGCACAGGCAAAAAAATTGCAGGGGGCTGATTTCCAAGCAAAAAGATGCCAAAAAAGTTGCTAAGTTGTTGCTTGTTTCTATTTCGCACTCGTAAAAAATCCACAGGGTGCTGGGTCCAAGTTAAAAAATTATCAGAATGCTGCTAGATTGTTGCCCTTTTTTCTAATCAGCACTGGAAACAAGTCCCAGGCTGCTGCTTTCAGGTTGCAAAGGCGCCAGAAGCTGAATGCGGTTCCCCTTGCTCCTTGTCTCTGTTTGATCCGAGCCCCCCCCCCAAACCAAACTCGAACCAAACCCAAACCCAACCCAAACCCAACTCAGACCAACCAAACCCCAAACCAAACCAAACACGAACCAAACTGAAACAGAAACCCAAACCAGACCCAAACCCAAACCCAAACCAGGAACAAACCCGAAGCAGGGGGAACAAACCCGAAGCAGGCTCAGGCCAAACCGAACCCAGACCCGGGCCAAGCTTAGACGTGGGCCGAACTTATTCCAACCAAACCCAGGCAAAACGTAGACCAAACCCGCGCCGGGCCCAGCTCGCCAGGCCTCGCCCCAGGCGCTTGCCTAAACCAAGCCCAAACGCTAACCGACCAAACCCGCCGGGAGCCCGCCCGACCTCAAACCAAACAGACGCGCCCAAAGCACGCCCGGAGCCCGAAGCAAGGCCGAAGCCCGCAGCATGCTCGAAACCCGGGCCAGGCCTGCCGCTTGCGCTGAGTCGGGGGCTGGAGCCGGGCAGGCTGCGACGCGCTGCGCGTGCGTCTTCTCGGCTCTTCTCTCTTCTTTCTCTTGGGTTTTCTGAACCGCGGGGAGCCCGCGGCCAGCAGCCACCGCAGCGCGCCCTCGAATCCCGAGGAGCGAGAACGAAGCGGGGAGAAGAACAAGAGAGGCAAAGGGAGGGACTTGGGCAGGGTATGGCATGGCGGTGGGTGCTACGGCTTTGGCTGCGCGTGGTCCTTCAATGCTGACACGGTCAACGCGGTCCCGCCTGTGTTGCCTTTGTCTTCTCTTCTGTTCCCCACTCGTTTCCCTCTCTTCCAGGAGATTCGAGGGTGCACTGCGGTGGCTGGTGGCGGGCTGCACTGCGTGCGCAGTGTGTCCGCCTCGGTCTTCTTCGTGCTTGGTTCGCTCCCGAGATTCGAGGGCGCCGCGCGGTGGCTGGCGGTGGGTGCTGAGGCGAGTGCAGTGTGCTGCCCGTCTTTGTCTTTCAGGGCGCTCCGGCGGGGCCTAGACTGCTTCAAGCCCAGAAGCCCGCCCGGGGTCGGGGAGCTCTGACGACTAGAATCGCCACGCGGCTGGGGTCGGTTTTGGTTTCGTTAATCGGGGGGGGATGGTCTCTCCCCCCAACGAAATGAAGCCGCTGAGGGTCTTGCCGGTGAGGGGTCGAAATTGTCCAAATGTGACCCATCTGGGGCGTGTCCGTCTGTCATTTTGGAGACACTTCGAGACGGCTCCAAACTTCCACCAGAACAGAGAGAAAACCAGAACGGGCGCGGGACTCCTTCGGGACCGCGGGCCCCTCTGGAGTCGCCCCGACACATTTGCGGCAGCCCGGTCGGGGCTCGTGGGTGAGCCTTCTCCAAGCTCCTCGGAAAGCCCCTGGGGGGCGGTGAGCGGTTTCCCTTATGCAGGGCCAGAACTTTAAACGCCGGGTAAGGGTACCCTCGCCCGGCGTTTAAGCTTCTAGCGCGACTAGATTCCCTCGCCTGGCTGTGGCTTCGTGATTTTTCCCCGTTTTTTAATTTTTTTGGTTTGCTAGCAAATGGGCCGAGGACGTTCATCTACGAACTTCCTTGTTATAAATACGTGGCCACTTTTAGTTTCTTCACCTATGAATTTGGACCTTCACTTTCTGTTTTTTTTCGGTTTTTTCCTAGTCACTCGGCTGACTCCGCCACTTTTATGATAAGTGAAGCGCGAACGTCTATCGCTACCTCAAGTCGAGCATGCTATTATTACGTGAAACACGGACAGCAGTATGGCTAGGTAGGCAATGGTGAAAAGTATGTGGTCGCTTTTTCGAATCTTGGTCTTTTGTTATGCGCATGGCCATTCCGCATTCGCAGCGCAGTTTCCTGGGCATCGGCCCTATACGTTTATGATGTTGCGTTTTTTTCCATCAACTTTTTTGAGAAGTAAGTGAGCCTAACGAAGTTTGGGATGGAAGAAAGCACGGGGGTTCAGTTGAGTGAAACCAAAACTTCTAGCAGGGACGACAACCAGCTGCAGCTGCCTTACCTCCACTCCGATTCTTTGCACCAGGTTGATTAAGGTTCACGCTATTGAATCACGATAAAATCCATTCCAGTTGACGTCTTTGTCATATTGTCACTCCACTTGATGTCGTGATCGGCGACATTATAATCTTGGGAAAAAGCATCATCAGGCTCAGCTTCCATTTTTGATATTCCTCTTTCAATACTACATCGCTTCATCAGCAAGAGAAACAACCCCAAACAGCCTCAAGCCTCTTCATTACATGCCTCCAGTTCCTACTACATTATCAGGAGGTCTCCAACCTCTTCATTACATCCCTGCGAGTCGCACAATAGAAGCAGGGTATCTTCAGCAATTCGGAAGCACTACCTTCATTTGGGAAAGACGGCGTGGTCCAATTCGTAGCGGAAAGGCGTGCCAGATCGGTGTCGTGGCAAGCGTGGTTTCGTTTCTCGTCTGGCAGTTCTCGGGATTGGACACGTACACTGTCGTTATTCTATAGTACTTAAGTAGTATTTTTCTCCTATATATGTTCCAGGGCGCGGGGCGACGGCCCGCCCTCCTAGCGGCGGGGGGGGCGGGCGCCCTGGGCCCCTTTTTGAGGCCTCTGCCGGGCGGAAAGGCCTCAAAAGGCCCCCCCGCCCCCCCCGTCCCCTTCCAGGTGCTTGGCGTCCCCAAGAGGCCTCCGACGTAGGTGGAAGGCCTCCAGAGGGCCTCAAGGGGGGCTGCCTCCGCTTCCTCCCAGCGGCTTGGCAGTCCCGCAGAGGCCTCCGACGTAGGGGGAAGGCCTCAAGGGGGGCCAAGGGGCTCGCTGCCTCCTTCTCGTTTGCATGTGCCCTACAGTCTTGAGGGGTTAGATGGCAGCAGGGGGCTGCCCCCTCCTCGTTTGCATGTACCCTACAGACTCGAGGGGCCCCCGATGGTGGTGGGAGGCTTCAAAAGGGGCCCAGGGGATCGCCTGCGCCCCCGTCCAGGTGCCTGCCTGTGCCCTCAGTGCATCCGTTAGGCCTTGCCGCCGCAACAGTGCACCGGCAGCGGAAGGCCTCCGAAGACGGCAAAAGGCGAAGGGCTGGACCCCCTGAGCCGTGCCGCTTGAACCCTCCGGGCCCTTGGTCATCGGCTTGCCTGCGACCGTGGCCCTTAGGAACACGCTGAGAGGCCCAAGGGGAGGAAGGCGCCAAGTTTTGAGGCCTTCCACCACTAGAATCCGCGAAAAATCCGCGCGGAAAAGCGCGCGGGCGCGCCACCACAGACCAGACCACAGGGGGGGGGAGGGGGGGGCCGTGCGGCCCTGCGTCATATATAGGATTTTGGATCTATCGGAGATTCTGGCGTTTCATCGTTCCCTCCATCCGGTCGTCTTGGTTTTTGACTTTTTGAATTTTCTGCGTCTTCTTTTTGAATTTTCTGCGTCTGAAACTGCTCCCCTTATCCTCGTGGATGATACGTGTGGAGCTGGTCCGGGTGACTGCATTATGATTAAGGCATCATTATACCTAAAGCTGTATCTTAAGAGGCATCTGCGACGTACTTTCAAGGAGAAGGTCGTTAAAGATGCGCTCCAAGATGAATATTGGTAGAGTCTAAATTAAAGGTCATTGGGCTTGTAGCTTTGGAACATGTGGAGTTATGGATGTAGTATGTTACTACATCCTGACTTATGGATACTGTGGATGTAGTATGTTGTGGCTGTAGTATGCGTCTGATTTCTCCATGATAATATTCAAAAGATGGCCGTGTAGCTAGTAGAATTGAGATGGCTCCTAGTAGAATTGAGAAGGCTAAACACAAGCTAGCTCGTTACACTACTTATCTGTTTTGTGATATCGAAGCATTGTGACTCTACATGCTGCTTCGCGATCGAGTCACAAATATACGAGGAGAATCCGGAAATTCAGTCATCATGTGCTTCTCATTTACTGTCGTCTTCGGCGTCAGTGCCTATAGGTCTAGGAGGAGCAGAGAGAATTCTACAAGCCGGCACTTCTATTGAGAGAGATGCGCTTCTAGCAGAACGGGGACTAGATTTGAAGAGCTTCCAAGATACATCTCTCGATTTGAAAAGGCTCCGAGATACAACTGCGGAAGATTTGAAAGAACTTCGACTTGACGCAACCCCTGGGCGCATGAAAACCCTTGATGCAACTAGTGAGACGAGCACAGCACAACCAGCCATCGCCCATTGGCTCAACAAAGGTTACAGTTCACAGGCGGCTGTGGTTGCTGCCTATACAATGACGAGGACGCAGCTGAAACAAATACAGTGTGTGGACATAGACTTGCAGCCACTCTTTACTTTAAGGCGTGCAGCGATTCAGCTTAAGCGGCCGCATCTTTGTCCCCTTTTTTAAGGGGGAAGCAAGTCAAAGATGCTCTTCAAGATGCTGCTCTTCAAGATGAATATAGGTGGACGAGGACGCAGCTGAAACAAATACAGTGTGTGGACATAGACTTGCAGCCACTCTTTACTTTAAGGCGTGCAGCGATTCAGCTTAAGCGGCCGCATCTTTGTCCCCTTTTTTAAGGGGGAAGCAAGTCAAAGATGCTCTTCAAGATGCTGCTCTTCAAGATGAATATAGGTGGTCTAAGTTAAATAGTTCGTCTAATTACTGAATTAAGAGAAGTGATGTCCTGCTCTTTTTCTCAACCTAGCAGTACGGAAACAAGTGTTGGGAACATTTCGGAACCCCGCAAAAAACTGTTGCTAGTCGTGGGAGAGTACATTTATGGCACAACATCATCAGTAGAGTGAAAGTCAAGATTTACTGCCAGTACTTCTGCGACTACCTAGTAGTAAGTTGTATCGACAAAAAATACTAAGTCGGAGACGTAATTGACAACTCTCCTAGTATATTACCATGTGATGTCATTTCATCAGGAGAAGGAGATGATGCACTTCGGGAACCGCGACAAAAGCATTCTGCATTAAGGCCAACAATATAAGTACGTAGGCTACTCCATCTACTTACATCATCCGATTCATTGTTGGAACACTTCTGAAAACATTTTTCAACACCTTGAAAGAGGGGAGGGGACATCACTTCTTTCAATCACGTCATTTTTTATTTGTCATTGTACATTTCGAACTCTAACGACAACAACGCGAAAACCGAGTTCTTTCTTGGGTCGACGCCCTCTTTTCTGCTGCTGCTGCTGGCCAGCAGCCAGTCACAATAATGGACGAGAAAGGTCTGAACAAGAAGTACTATTTTCTGTATCGTGGTATTCACATTGGGCACCCAGTATAACAATCCAGCAAGAACAACAACAGCAACGCCAAGAACAAAGCCTCCAACAAGACGATTCTTTGTTTCTTATCTCTGACGTGCTGTGGCCTACGTCCTCGTATCGAAGCGTTGCGGCAAACACGTTTGCACAAGCAATGAACTTCTTCACCGTTTTCGAAGGGTTCGGAGTTTTGTACAACATAAGAATTGACGCTGAGAAAATGCGAGAACTCTATGGAAGTCACGGTGAAAGAACGAGAACGAATGAAAGAACGATGAAGGATTTTTTGTTATGGGACCACTTTTATTTCCAACAGCACTATCTCAAAAAATTTGTGCTGCCATCAATACAGGATGAGTTTGACGAAAGTCATGTCATGCGGTGAGTCGGATTAGGAATGACGAAAATTGCAGCTCGAAGGCCCACTCTAATCTTATGGTCAGGTTTGTTTAACGCACCCGATATAGATGTTCCACAGGCGTGAGAAAAGCACCACCATTGATATGCACTAACCCCAACTGATTGCACCCACCCAAGTGACACTATGCACAGCTTCAAGATGCTTTCGGGCTGATCTAATTTTCTACGGGCTGATCCACTTGCCACCCACGGTTACACCCACTCACCTCACCCCACTGAAATTTACTCAGCTCACACCGACCTGCCTAAAAACTCACTCTAATTTCATCCAGACCTGTGAGCCTTCGCGGGTATAGCTCCATACCAGAGGAAGAGGAGGTCTTGCTTCCCCCAGGCTGTACTTTTCGGGTGATAGGGAGTCCTGTCCATCGCCATTTGCGATTCTACGAAGTCACTTTAGAGTTGTGGAAATTACCGGAGTCGTGAATTCCTTGAAGAGAATCTTGAGAGTTGTCTTGCACTCCGTGAACCTTGGCACGAAGTAATCGTTTGAGAAATAAGTTTTGGATTTTTGTAGAAGGTATGAGCGAGGGAACCTATTCTTGTGTGGCTCGCGTTGAAGCTTTTTAAGATGGTGTCATACTCAACAACCAGTCTTCGAAATTTTCGATTCTCCAGTATTGGCAGAAATAGGTTTCTCCTGCTAAACGTGTGCATTTGATTAAACAAGGCTATAAATGTGTGAACAATGTTGACTTTGACGCAACGTCCAGCATGTGGGGTATGAAGATAATAGATTTGCGCTGCAGGATGTGTTTGAGAAAAGTAGGAAGACGAGAGAGACACAGTCAAAACATGCCAATAGTACAAGATCTAGGAAAACCTAATCAGTGTAAGACAAGAGGCAAAGATGCAAAAGTGGCAAAAGTGTTTGAGAGAGGGAGAGACACAGCAAACCTGTAAAAGATTTCGTGACGAAACACTCCGACGCCCTTAAGGCAGTCTGCACTGAACTTTGTGCGAGGTTTATTGCATGGTGTTGCTTTTATTCAAGAATTTCTTTCGGCAAACAGACATTTCCTGTTGTATCGTATTTGAAAAACCTCACTCATCATGATGTAGTAGCAGAGATTGATTGCTGAAACTGAAGAATCTCCACCCATTGTATACTACATTTTACAACTGATGAAAATACTAGAAGCCCCTCTTCAATATAAGTAGTCATCACATTTCACTCGCGTCTTTTTCCTAATTAGGGCTCTACTGGAACAAATACAGTGACCACATTTATTACGCCGCTTACCTTAGTTCTTCCTAAAGAACCTTACAAAGTCCAAAAAGGTCCAAAAAGATGTCGGCAGGAGGCGGACAGGAGGGTTTCCTCCCTCCGGCTGGGGATTTCTCGAGTTTCGACAGTGCCTCGAATGCCAAAGACCTCGACGAAGCTCAATTATTGCGAATCTTCAAGCATTTCGATTCGGATGGAAGTGGTAAGCATCGCGATTGAACTACGCAGTTACTTGAATGAATGAGTTGAGACTGTAACCTAGGGTAAGGAACCTTGGCCCCCACCTAACCTAACCTAACATCGCGATTGAACTACTTGTACGTTATTATTTGTATAAGTACTAGACACGATTGAACTACTTGTACGTTTATTTGTATAAGACTACACTGCTCTGCAACAAACAGGTTCAATCGATGTGGAGGAACTGCGAGAGGCGATGATGGCTCTGGGCATTAAGGTCACTATGGCCTCAACAAAAAAAATTATGCATACGATCGACGCGGATGGCAACGGTATCTATATTAAGGACTTCTTTTTTGACGTAGTCTGTTGGGGGGACTGCAGTTGTATAATAATTGTTCTGTACTACACGACATGAAGGATGGAAGGTTTAAGGAATTTTTCTTACTACATGTTTGTCACTTGATCTGCAACCTTTAATAAGAGCAAATGGTAGGAATTTCACAGGTACTGTCGAATGGGACAACCACAATTTCAATGGAACAACCACAGGTACTGTCGAATGGGATGAATTTCACACCTTTTTCGAGAAGTGCAAGAACCCGGAGGAAATTCGTGCTCTGCTAAACAGCCAGAATGCTAAGTATCTGGACTACAATTAAGACTTCTTCCATGAGGAATTCATCTTGAGAAGAAACATCGCATCTTTGGTGACCCCCTTTTCTACTTCAAGGGAGGAAAAGAACGCATATTTCACGGAAGGAAAAGAACGCATTACGCCCGTAAATTCTGGCTGTATCATCATCATCGTCATCATCATCATCATCATCATCATCATCGTCATTGCCTCCCTTTTCGTTAACAAGGGAACAACAAAATAGCCTCGTCAAAGATGCCTACTTTCAAGATGCGTGAATATGGGTAAGATATGTCTAATATAAGATGATGGTGGAAGGAGATCCAAATTTTGGGAAGCGATTTTTCGTGCCACCATCCCGTGAACGCAAGTGGAAATACTCAGCACATGTTATGGAGGCTAGTGTTGATGAATGGATTCTTTTGATGGGGTTTCTCTTTATTTAAGATTTCAACGCGTAGGGAGGTGAACAACTGTCTGTTGTTCATCTCACAAAAAGTCTAGAAAAGTTAAGTAATCTAGACAAAAAGCATTCGGACCTACTTGTAACAAGACTCAAAATGCTTAGCCGCCCCAATCCTCTTTCATTTTTGAAGATAGCGTCGAATCAGTAACATGGGTATCAAAAACGAGTGACTATTTCCTCACTTGCAGCTTGGATGGGAGCTTACGACTTTTTGACGTGAATACAGGTGAGCAATAATGTTGCTGGTCGCTATTTCAGTGACTCTTTGACGGGAACACTACTATACCAGCTACACTTTTTTTTTTGTAGTCCGAGAACGCCGAAAGTGTGACCCCAGTGTTATCCGGTGTACCTGCCGGCGACGGGTGGAGTGAATACTACTTCTGTACTGCCATCGCTACAACCTTGCAGGCCAACTACAGTATTCTGCACCCAATTGCCGCACATAAAACTACACAGGCAAGCAGCACAAGAAGCTCATTGAGGATGTAGAAGGTGGTATTTATTGCGTGAACGTGATCAATGGAGGTGAAAAGTGTATCGCGGGTTGTGGTGGAAAGGAAAACAATATTGGGCTCTTCGATTTATCGAAAGATGGTACTGCGATATAGGCAAAGTTTTGAACACTCACTCCATGACTTGATCTGTGTGTTTCTCTTCTCCTTAGAAAAGGTATGCAAGTTGCAATCACAGTGGTGCAAAGGGTGTGCAAGCTGCTGGCGCTGTGCACTAAATAGTATAACGCGAACAACGTATGAGGGATTTGCTACTGTCTCCTGTGACCTTTTTGGTTCCTTACTTGTCTTGACTCAGAAGATTGACCCTCAATAACCTTTTCCTTCAGAGAAACAAACTCACAATCACCACTCCAGGTCTCGAGGTCCTACCCAAATCCCAAACTGACAAACCCCTTTCCTCAGGTGCCGACTCCCGTATCATGTCGTACCAGGGGCCACCAGCACCCGTTTATTCAGTGTGCGCAGAAAAGACTAAGCAGTCGGCTTATTTTCTAGCTGGAGCAAAAAATGGTCACATGGGTTGGTATGACGTCACCAGGAAAGAGCCGGTGATATCCATGACCTCGTTTCATGAAAGTACTGACTCCATTTGAGTCTTCTCTACTTTTGGATTGCAGTTTTTTGCTTTGAGTCGATGTAACTACAGTTGTGGTGGTCTATCGATCTCTTCGACTACACGGCCTCTCGAGGCCCACATTCCCCACGACTTTTTCCCTCAAAAATCGATCTCAATGTGTCCCATCCACCTCCCCAAAAATCCCAAAAAAAGGTGTCGTCTACTCCGTGGACTTGAACAAGGAAGGAAATATGATGTGCTCAACATCGCAGGATGGTCTATTGCAGATTGCCGATTTTAGGGGTGGCCTAGAATGGAAAATAAATCACACAGTAGAGGAAGCAGCGGCAAGTGGAATTTGCTTCAAAGTCCTCTTTCGAGGGGAGCGGGAATTCCTATCGTGCGGTGATGGTAGAGAAAACTATCACTTGATAGAAGACTATGACCTAGTTAGGAGTAGAAAAGCAATATAGATGCTTGTGTGCATGACGAGGTAGGAGAAAAGCACGACTTGTGTGAACAAGTAGAACTAAGTAGAACTATTCTTGTGACTGAAAATAACCGAGTTATTGACTGAAATAAGGAAGGCACTAGCTTATAACGTCAAGGCTACCCTTCCTTGTTCAACAGTATCTCGGTTATTCTCGTCTGTTACTCGCTTATTTCAGTTTTTCGAATACTTGTTGTTGTGTACCTACTCGTGGCTCAAGAATAGTTCTACTTAGGTCTACTATTGTTGTAGGAAGAGAACTTTTTCACCGCCTTCAGATTACTGCGTGAAAAAATGGGATTTGCGACAGCTGAAGAAAGGCCCAGTAGAGAATTATCTCGGAGTAACATCGCCAATCCGAGAGATCTGCATGTCAGAATGCGAGAAATACCTAGTGTCAGCAAGTAGCGATGGATGCATTAGGGTACCACTTTTATTTCGTTTGAAAAAGGATAAGTAAGAGGTACTACTTAACTGATTGGCCTCACACAAAGTAGACTTCCATTGCTTTATAAGAGGAGGTACCATGACACGACAAGGATGAGATAGAAGAACGCTCATGGGTATCGGTGGAATGTATATTGGGCTGGTGAGATAATCAAGTCATTCAACTTCTCTCGATAAATGCGATTTTACCGCACTGCTAGTAGGAGCAACTTCGATATCTCGGAAGTACTAACTCTCTATGTCCTTTTTTTCGTGAAGATCATCAAAATTCATATCAGCCCTCAGTTTCTTTTTGTTATCCACCCTCCACTCGCCCCAATAGGTGTGGGTAATCGACGAGCGGGAGTACATTGAGCAGGATCTAGAGCAGTGTACTAGAACCATCGGTAACCTGGAGAAAAAGAGGACCGTATTCGACCAGAAGCTCGGCGACGGCGATGATGTTGACGAAGAAGAAGTGAGATCAGTGGTAGGGACTAGGACTACTCAGTAGATGAACTTCTTGTTCTCGTGATAGCTTATACTTGATGTTTCGTTCTTCCTAGGTTGCTGGTATACAGTCGTGGTGAGTGACTATTAGTCTTGTGATGCAACTTGTCGTACACAATCCTCCTGCTCAAGGTGAAGCAAATTTTCTTCGTCATTCTTTCGAAGAAATTCACTTTGAATCCAAAAAACCTCAAAGCACTACTCAGTTACCTCAACCTTGTTTTACTAAAGATTAATCCACCTAAACCCTAAACGACCCTAGATCACGGACTTGGAGAAGGCATACACTAGAGGCTTATCAGTAGCAAGCGCAGAGGCAGAGAGGTATGCGATGAGCTGTGTGCAAGCGAAATTAGGTCTAGACGGTCACACGTTGCCAGTCACGGCTTGTGCGTGGCGAGACCATCCTACGGAAGCGGGAAGAGCACAAATCATTAGTGGTACTTACAAATTTTGTTATTGGTTATTTTGGAATTTCGATTTGTACTTAACAATTATTAGTGGTTATTTAGGAAGAGCACAAATCATTAGTGGTACTTACATATTTTGTTATTGCTTATTTTGGAATTTCGATTTGTACTTACAATCATTAGTGGTTATTTAGGACCACGACAGGACCACGACAGCGCCGGCGCTTAGTTAGTAGTGATAAGTTCTTGCCTGACTTTTCTTTTTTTCGGTTTTTGTTTTTTCTAGTTAGATATGCTCCACCAACATTATTAGTGGTTATTTGGGAATAATTTCGATTTCAATATTGTTGTACTTACATATTAGGAATTGCGTTGTCTTGAAATTATATTTTGGAATAATTTCGATTTCAATATTGTCGTTCCTAGTGATGTTGACGACGACACCTTGATAGTATAAACTCTGGGTAGAAGAAGTAGAACCTCGAAGTCTGGTCACCACTTAAGCGACTAAGCGCTGACTCGGTCTCCACTAAAGCCACTAAAAGATGACTTGTCATCACTTAAGCGACTAAGAGATGATTTGTCATCACTTAAGCGACTAAGTTGGTGAGCCACTAAAGGAATAAGTGGTGAGCCAGTCACTATTTAAGCGACCGCGTGGCGCCTAAGTGCCTCAGAGGCGTGCCCCTTAAGTGCCTCAGAAGCGTGTCCCTTAAGTGCCTCCTCAGAGGCGCGAGGAGAACTGAGCCGCGACACTTAATCGCAGCGCTCAACTGGAGCACTCAAAATTAAGCACGCCAATTTTTGCTGTTGATACGTTCCTAACTTTTTCCGCAACACCCAACCCTAACTGAAGCATGACTCAGGTTCTCAAGATTGCAACACTCAGCCGTATAACTGAAGACCATGACTCAGGTTCTCAAGATTGCAACACTCAACCCCCTAAGTGAAGGATGACTCAGGTTCTCAAGATTGCAACACTCAACCGTATAATTGAACCATGACTCAGGTTCTCAAGATTGAAACATTCAACTCTAACTGAACCATGACTCAGGCTCTCAAGATCAGTCGTCAATGTTATTCGACATCAAGAAGCCGAACACACACCACTACGTCAAATGGGGAACTGTCACTGAGGACGCAGCTTCACCGGGAGGCAGGGGAGGATACGGCGGCTGAGCCATGAGGCTTATAGTTAAGATGGGCATGCATTAGAAGTGGATGAAGAATATGAAGTAGATGAGGACCCATGTTGTACTTGTATCGAGGACCACAGTTATAGAACAAGGACATGCAGAGAAAGGGCATGCAGAGGAAGGACCTGTAGAGGAAGAATTTAGACGAAGTTTAGATTAGTAGGACATTTTATGCTTAGGTCACATGTGGAACTACTTCTCTAGGACCACAAAATATATTGAGATCTTCTGATACACTAGTCAAAGCTTGAAAGAGTAGTAGACAACTTAATGCGACAAATCGAAAACCCTCCAAAACGGAGTGGAGCTTTCCGTTGTCAAAGTTGTTTTTTTTGTTCGTCACTTTGATTAGGGCTTACAAGGACATAGCTGCTTCTCCTTTAGCACTTCTTTTACCTGTCGTGTAGTATTCGTTGTCTCAAATAGAAAAGCAAAAGGCTAGAATAGTAACCGAGTAGAAAGAATATATCAAGAGAATTTTGTGATAGACAGGCTCATGGTGTTATGTCACTGAACAAGGCTGTACAGAAAGTACAAAGAAAGTTGTGGTGTTTTTTGTCTAGGCACGAAGATAAGAAGGTGTGAGGATCTGTATGATGGTTACAGCTTCTGCCACATGCTGTAGAAAATTTGTTACTACAAATCAAAGATACAACATCATGAAGGAGATTGTGCATCATGTTCTGAACGACTGACAGCGATCATGGAGCTTACTACTCTCTTTGCTAATGCAAGATGATAATTCGTAATATCGGTGATTCACCTGGGAAAAAATTCCAGAGGACTATTAAGTTAGTATGCTGTCTAGACCAGACAGCCAGTCTCTCGACAGCTGGAGCAAAGACGTATTGCTTCAATATCGCGGTGTCGAAGAAGCTACCAGGTGGCTCGCTGTGAACAAGCGCCAGCTTGAATGAGAGTTCTTCTCTCTGTAGACATTTTGAATGAGGGTTCTTCTCTCTTCTAACGCAGAAAAGATCTTGACACTGCATAACAAAATACAAATCTTTCAAGGTGGCTATCAGCATTGAGTGCTATGGTGCTGATCGATGATGATGGTAATAAGCTGCTTATAATATTACCTGACTTCTAGTAGCAAACGATCACCACAGGGATGGGAGAAAAGCGAATTACTTAGATTTAAGAATGGATGTTGTAAGACGACAACAAAATACTTGAGAATCGGTGCTCAAGTAGAGTAGACATCGAGAGAGGCACAGGAACTACATTCCTGAAAAATCGACAGCCCACTAACAATCCAACAACAAGCTAGACTAGCGGGTAGAACTCGGCTCAGAAATCTTAGGCAGCTCGCCGAATCAGCTTGATAAATTCATCAGCTTGATAAATTCATTATAATGTCCTCATGGATCTTGGGCAGCTCGCCGAATAGATTCGAAAATTTACTAGCTTGATAAATTCATTAATGTCCTCATGGATCGACGTGGTTCGAACCGATGCCCAGTGAGCAACAACCCCTTTGAGAACGATTACCAAGAAGATTTTCTCGACCATCGAAGTGAGGAAGAAGAGAACAATTATCTTTCCAAGGAAGAAGATTAGGGCTTGGGAGTTGACATCTCTATGCGCGTCTCTATGGCTATCTCAAGTAGGAAAGCCATAGATATGCGACCTAGAGATGCCAACGCTCAACCTCTAAGAAGAGGAAGCGGACCGAGAGTCTCCAGACGGTCATAGGGAACATCATCGAAGTACAAACGGGGAAAAGGATCTCCGTCTTTCTTCATCGTCCAAAGGAGAAGACATTGACATTATAAAGAGAAGACCAGTTGTACTAGTTGCTTCTCAAAAAAAGAAAGACAACTTCAGGGCAAGAACTAGAACTACTACCACAAGGAAATATAGTCTGGAAGGTCCGGAAGCTGTAAGTGCGGTGGACCGTGAAGGATCATCTGCTATCGAAAGTACTAAAAGAGTTATCAATAGGGTTAGCAAAAGAGGTGAACCTGCCGCACCAGCTAGAAGTACTAAAAGAGTTATCAAAAGAGGTGGTGAACCTGAGGAAGCCTTATCTTCTTGTCACGAAAGCGCGAGTCCAGCACTGGCAAGACGAGTATATAATCGACCTGGGTACGGCGAAATGAATACTTCTGGTAATGAAAGCGGCGAGAGGCGAAACCTCGATGGAGGAGGTGGCAGAGGCGAACATCGTTACGGCTTCGAAGTAGAGCTAGAGGAGTTAGAACCAACACTAGATGAAAGATAATTCTTCATGATTGGAGAGAATTAGTCTAATTCAGCAGCAATTCTAGAAGTTTGATCTATCATCAGGATGCCAACTTCCGTATCGACTAGAATTTCTCAGCGTTCCTAGTCATGACAGTTAGGATTATACCCGATTATTGCTCTGTGTTATTCTGTGGAGTACTGATCATTGCTCTGTGGAGTACTGATCATTGCTCTGTGTTACTCTCTAATCTTAGGATCGATCGGGACGTCGGTCAACCGTGGGAGCTAGGAGCCAACGGCGCTCATACCCCGATGAAGGAAAAGTTAAGACAAAGCGTCTCTGGTGCAGGACATGATGCTTGACTGAAGTCCTCTTTACATTCTTACTCCTTCGAAATACTGACCTTAGAAAGTCCGAGGTCCATCTTATTATTGTTGATTACATTTAGTACGTAGTAGTTTTTTTCACGTTTCTTTCATCCTCCCGGTGAAGTGTCTTCTCATCGTAACTCCATTGACTCCATCCATGATAATGATAAAATCTTTTGATGGTTTTTAGAGGCCATTTTATCTGCTTCTCACCTGAGTCCAATCTACTTTTGATGGTTTTTAAAGGCTTCTAACCCCAGTCCTACCACTACAAGCAGCACCACCACTACCACAACACGAGACCACACACATAAGCAAGGGAAACAGATGAAAGGTAAAGATGGGATGAACAAGGAAGGCTACTATGGAAATAAGGAAATCCATACTGGCGTCATCCATGACGAAAGTTCCGCACGGCTGTGGGTTGGCGGCTTGCCAGCGGATATCACTTTAGGACACAAGTCGCAAGTGGAGTATGTTTTTTTGACTATCTAAGTTTCACAAGCTTACGACGTCACAAGTTCTTTGCCGTTACAACAGGTTAGTAGGATGGGAAGATTTCTACGTTTCCCTGTATCATGTGGCTCCATCCTCGTCGTCCCTGTATCATGTGGCTACATCCTCGTATTGTTTGGTGCTAGTCAAGAACAGCGAGACCTCCTATTTGTTCTACCCCTAGCTACTTCTTCTAATCCAAGACCGCACCTTGAAAGAGGGTTTTGCCCCTGTGGCTCAGGTGGTTGCCGTGGCCATCAAATTTAAGGTCAGCTTTTGTCCATGTCGGCATCTTGGTGCCCTGCTTTTCCCTTGTATTTTCACTATAGTTTTTTTTTAAATAGTTGGATATGGATTTCTTCCTTTTCATGTAATTTTGTTTCCTAGTTAGACGTGCTCCACCGGTAATATACAAGGGTAGTAAAGGGGCCAAGTAGATGAGGGGACCGAGGTGCACCCTAGTAGCACACGCTAACAAATATCCGAGCAATGGCCCCCCTTTTGCGTTTCTGCAACTTGAGACGCCAAAAGATGCACAGAGGTGTGTGGAGGAGATGAATCAGTCACGGGCGTTCGGATTGCCGATTAAGGTATCCTTGCTTCTACATCATATACACTACAAGGGCACATTCTTCAACATCATAAGCACTTACTTTTAATATAGACCACAGTACATCAACATCGAATTAGCATTGCTCTTTTTTCTGCTTTTAGCACCAACAAGAGATAAGAGTTATAGTTTTCGTAGTTTCTTGGTTCTGGGGTGTTTCGTGTACAAGGTTTCCGGCATTGTTGACCAGGTTTCTGGCACGACGGTTGGCGGTGACAAAGTGGCGCTGTTAAGGCTTTGGAAACCCATGATGAGACTACAGAGCGTCAAAAGGAGAGGAAGTCGCGAGACCAGAAGTAGTAGTACTAGAGCTAATTATATTGTCTTCATCTACTACTACTACCACTACTACTACCGCTAGAGCAAATACCCCTCGAATGGGTACACTACTCCCACTACTGCTACTACGACTACTACTACTATCTGTCGGCGCCTACTTGTTTTTAACTACCTCCTCTAAGAATCAAAGGCGACGCGCACAAAGGAAAGGGGAGAGGAGGGAAAGGAAAAAGTCCTACGGCGCGGGACTCTGGACGCGGTGATCATACAAGTAGGCGCAGTCCTGGACGCGGTGATCATACAAGTAGGCGCAGTCCTGGACGCGGTGATCATACAAGTATTAAGGGTTACCGAAGTGCATCCTTCACTACCATCAAGAACGAAAAATGTCATCCAGCAGCAAACCGCCTCTCTGTCTCCTGTGATCAGGATTTTTTTCGTCTCAAGTGGAAAACGTTTTTTGACTATCTAAGGTCGTTCTGAAGAATGTAATTGCGCAGCCCCTAATAGTAGGCGCAGTCCTGGACGCGGTGACAAACGCACACCACCTCTACTTACGGCCCAAAATGATACCGACCATTTTGCCGATCGTTTATTGCTTCACTCTGTGTGGATCATTTGCTTCACCCTTCTACTTGTTCCTGGATTCTTAGATGACTCTGACCTAGAATATTCATATTCATTGAATTTTTGCAGCTCTAATCTACGTGATTATAATCACCGAGAAAGTCGTGGACGGGACCGAAAACGGGATGACGGAAGATCTTCTCGAGCGGATGATGGTAGAAGCAAGAGAGCACCAACGCGAGATAGTCGAGGGTACTTCTTTCTGCATGACTGGTCGTGGAAGTTGTACTTCATCGTTGTCGCAAGAATGATTTGAAACAAAATCAAATATCTTCTTCTTCTTCTTGATAAACTTCTTCCTACAAACTACATCGAAACACAGTCGCGACCGAGGAGGACCCCTAGTTCCGTCTAAAGTAGAGCATCTCTCACGCAGCACAACTATGGATCCTCTTAGTGCGGCTCTAGGCACACCAAGGAACATTAGGGCGGCAACCGCTGGAGCATCCTTGGTCCCTCATCCTTGGTCCCTCATCCTTCAAGGGAAAAAAAAGGGCCCAGGGATGTGGTCTTAGGGATGCGCGACGCGGCTGCTCTAAGAAGAATCTTCCAGCATTAGGAGCCCTAGGTGGAAGGGCCGACTTGGATCCAGCTATGATGGCCTTCAGAATGAAGGAGATGCAGATGCAACAGGAGTTGGACCTGTTGCGGAGGTTTATAGTGGCACAGACTAGGTATTGTACAAAACTATGAAATCAATTTACTCTTGGTTAACTCGGAGGTTTATAGTGGCACAGACTAGGTATTGTACAAAACTACGAAATCACTTTACTCTTGTGGAATATGTTTTGTTTGACTATCTAAGGTTCACAAGCTTACTCTTGGTTAATGATATCATTGCTCAAATCATCTCAGGGCTGAAGCTCTGGACGGACGTCTCCCTGAATGATATCATTTTTCAAATCATCTCAGGGCTGAAGCTCTGGACGGACGTCTTCCTGTACTTGGAGATCGTCAACGTCCCCGATCCCGTTCTCCTAGACGCCGTTCGCGATCCCCCAGACGAGGAGACCAGAGTTCTTCATCGGCTTATGCTGGTTATGGGTGGTTTGCACACTATTATTGAATCGTTAAATTGAATCTTTACAGTTCTTTACTTTTAGTTTACCTTGTTTGTTTGTTTGTTTGTTGGTTGGTTTGTTTGTTTACTTTGTTTACTTTGTTTGTTTTGATGCGCTCCGGGCGACGCGTCCGTTTTTTTTGATTTTTCTTTGTGCTCTGTGTGTGTCACTTCATCTTCATATTATGATTTTAGTATACTTCATATTCATCTTCAACGACCCTTCTTCATATCCTCGTACGAGATGCGCATCAACTACGGGAAGAAAAGAGGGTCAAGGAACAAAAGAAGCATTTCGTTGTGATTGATGTCTGTTCTGTTGTGTTTGATGTTCCGTTGTTCCGTAGTTTTCTGTTGTGTTTGATGTTCCGTTGTTCCGTAGTTATCATCCTCTACTCCCTCTCATCCCCCTCCCCACGACCCCCCTTCATATAGCAGAGGAACCGCCACGTCAACCTCAATGTATTCTGGGTTATACGTCTGGTAAAGGCAATTCCTCTTCTGCTGCTGATCCACGCGACCATCGAGACCATAATCGAGGAGGTGGAGGGGATCTCCGTGATCGCGATGGACCAGGTGGAAGGGACCATATTATGGAACGTGATATATATATACTCGGGTCGCAACGGAATCAGGCAGCTTTCTTGAGTTGTCATGTGTGTCGCAAATGAATGAATGAATGAGTGAATGAATGAATGATTAGAGCTGGTATTGCATCATGATGGTCACTTATTCAATGATGGTCACAGGTTGAGTAGAACGTGGATGAAATCCTGAAGGGACGGATGAAAATTGAATACTGGTGAAGAGTGTAGCTTCTTCTGTGTGCAGCTTCTTCTGTATTTTCTTCATTATTAATATGAGAATACTTACTTTTTCTTTGCGTTCATATTTCGGAGCGGTTCCAAGGACAAGGGCAAAGGCAAGTGTGGCAAAGTTATGAAAATGACCAACGGTCCTTCTACATCTTCCTTCACCCCATTTTTTTTACACTACCCCACTTTTTTTACACCATATAGTCTGACGATGACGATCACAGCAGATGCGCGACTAGCAGTTTCAACCTCAAATAGCTCCTCCACAAGACGCAACTCAGCCTGTGCATCCACTTCAAGCACAGGGCTAATAATGAGGCTTACGCCAGAAATCAAGCAACACGTGTTCAACTAGAAAAACAAGAATAAGAGGAGAGCTAAAAACAAAGCACCAAAAAAGCTTGATCCGATCATTATTTTTACACCATCCTGCTCTAACATGTACAAAGGCAAATCCACAGTGCCACAGGGAAATTTTAAAATCACAATTGAAAATATTCCTATGGATATGCAGTGGGCCGAGCTACGCGATATCGGAAAAGGCTTTTTGGAGGAGAAAAATAAAGACGGCCTCACGTTTTCTAGGACTTATATTTCGGTACTTGTTAATATTTTGAAGAATTAGTGAAAATGATTTACTTAGTACTACGCAGCTAGTAAAGGAGAAGTTGAGTTGTACATCAACAGCTCCTATGATTTGCCCTTCATCCAGTGCAAAGACAACCGTGTTGTGTCATATGATTTCTCCTTCACACAACACCAACAGGGCAATACTTGTTACGGTGTTTTGGAGTTTATGACGGAGAAGGATGCGGACTTCGTTATTAGCAAGTTGAACGGCAAAAAAATTAAGGGCCACGACGGTCGTTTGAAGGTTTATCGACAAGAATAGATGATTCGAAGATCATGGAGAAGTTCGAAGGTGGATAAAGGAGACGGAATTTTGGGTTACGGGTTCGTGGGTGAATAACGTACTGGTACCACGACAACGTACTGAGTGGAAGGGTGAGGTGGTGGACATTATACGGCTTTGAAGAACTACGGTAGAAGAAGTAGGCTTACATTTCCAACACTGTGGATCAGTATTTGCAGGCGGTAATTTTTGCGGTGTGGGGGGATAGTACAACACACATTGGCGCGGATGAAAATGGAACAAGAGGACTACTAATACACTCTCGCACTTGGAGGGCATAAAAGTCGTAATACAAGAACGAAGGCTGTTGGACTAGATGATGGCGTTGAAAAATACGAATATGTCGAACTTCTGGGCAGGACGAGGATAGCCCAGCTTTATTTGAACGTGAAGTACGATAATCACGTTCCCACGTGTACTACTACAAGTTGGAGGTGTATAAAAAATGTTGCAACTACAACTACTGGAGTGGTGGTAAGCTAGCGAGGGGCTGGCAACGAAAGGCAATTGGCGCTGCAGTTCCTATAGTGGAAATGAATTCCAATTTTCAAGAAATAAGTACTTTTAGAAAAGAAGAACCCTTGTGTCTGGCGCGTCTTTCAGGTGCGAACATGCATTTATTTCGAGGACGCGAAGCAAACGGATCGTAGCTGTCTCATATACGAACACCCTTACATCTAGGCGCGGACCTCTCTTATATCTGTGCGAGTATGCTTAAACATTATACACTTATATTCTCCTTTTGGCAGGGTTCTCCTGCTCTTATGTCAGACACCAATGTGGTCAACATCAGCAAGAACATTCAGAGGCAAAGTGAATTTTTCAACAAACTTTTCAGCGCTCCCAAAATTCTATCTGATACCTCGGCGAAGTGACTTGCTGCCTTGCAGAGGGGTGTGCGTGCCTGCCTAAATGCTACTAGATGGCCGAGGGTATTGCTTGCTATAGGAGTGAGTCGAAGGCGCGCGATAGGATATGATGGCTAGGAGCAGAATGGCCGGGTCCGTAAATACAGCCTTGCCTGCCCAGGAGCACTGGCTGGCGAGGGTAGCCGCACTTGCGCGCGATGCTTCGGAGGGCCTTCATCGGAGCACGAGAAGTTGCTGCGTGGTTTTTTTCGTGCAGATAGGCCACTACAACGCCACTTTGGGTGGCGGCTTTGCGTAGCATGGGGCTATCTAACCGCCTATCAAAAGCCGCCTTTTATCGAAGGTTTGCTACTATGAATTCGTGGCTTGGTATCTATGACGAGGGAGACGAGCGTATGGTGAGACGTACAATGGAGTGATGTGAGAGCAATCTGAGCGATGATAGCGATGTAATCGAGAGAAAGGAGCGCTTTCTGAAATGTGCGCTTTATTCGCGGCTGTTGATGCAGCCGCATCATGGGGGTGGTATTTCAGGATGTTGATATAGTTCCAGCGGACTCAGAGTATGGCTCTCCCTGCCTTGATGTCTTACGCGACCAGCATGCACTACTACATGGTTGTGGTTGAGGATACAGCAGTAGATGGAGGTTTTGGTACATGGTGGTGGTGCGCGTCTCAGCAAGAGTCGGCCAATACAGCGATCATGGCTCATCTACGAGAAATGTATGCTGGTTTACGCTTTGCGGAGCTGGTCGGTCTCATATTTGCACAGAACAGAACGGCTTCGCAACGTGAGGTGCTGCACAGAAGGTGATCATGCTGCACAGAAAAATGTAATCTCTCTGGGTGACAATTCACTCTTGTGGTCGTGGGTGTTGCCCGAAATAGCAGAAACTTGCTTGCTTTACTTCGCTAACAAGAAGTGGGTTTTCCTGAATCAATGTTGAATATCTTCGATGTCTCTAGTATGATCTCAGGAGGACGAAATCGGTACATAGAAGTTTGCGAAAGAAAATGCCGCGAAAGTATGGCACCGTTATGAAAACCAAAAACAACGTCTGCATCTTTTATGTGATAAATTTACAGAATCATGTCTCCTCAGAGGTTCAGAGTCGGTTCTCTTGCCCCAGAGAGTACTGGATCACAGGGGCTCTACGCTTCTTATGGTTTGACCGCCGGCCTGATATTACTTACTTGAGAACCCTGAAAAACACACACGCACACCATCGGTCTCGAGAAGACAAGGCTTCTGTGGAACACTGGATCGCTTTTCTCCTCCTTTCCCCCTTATATGAAAAAATGTTACTTGGGAATGATTAAAACAAAAGTCAGATCTACTTTTGTGCTGAAGCTTACACTCTCTAAGACGCTAGACGACCATCAATCATTGTATCACGCGGTGCTTATGATCTTCGGACAACTATAAACTCAACAATGATAGGGCATGGTTCGGAGGCCTCGATATAGGACATGGTTCGGAGGCCTCGATTATTGAGCCGGAATTTTGAGTATTCCATAGTTGGAACACTGTTGAAGCTCTCATTACATAGTTGGCTGCCAAGAACCGCTGATCTTTCAGCACTTAATGATGTGTCATATTTCTGCTGTGCGAACTACATCGAGCATAATGGGGCTGTAATAATCATGTTTTCCACACCAACAAAACCAGGATGACATGATGATTCCATGAATTTTCCTTGCCCTATGCTAAGTCGGGGGTACGTGTGGTCTCTGGCGCAGGAGCAGTGAGCTTGCGATTGCTAGGGAAGCGAGATGAATTAAGACATCCGGCATATTTTCACAAATGGCATCACACCTTGACGACTTTTTTTGGAAGACGTCAGAGGCATACAAGTTAGCAGTGGAAGCACGAGCACATCAACCTAGTACAACATCACGAAGGCTTGTTCGACGTCGTCAACATCTGCATCTTCGTGGAACTTGAACTTGGGAACATAATTCCAACTTGGGAACAAGAGACGGACAAAATGAGCGGTCGATCTCCGTTCATCAAGACGCGGCAGAAAGGCGCCGTTTCTTCGGCTGGGAAGTATCGTCCCTCTGTCGACGACACAGAACAGCCTCTACCCTCTCCCGTGCTCATGGGACCTCGCAAGAGCACGAGAGCAGATTCTTCCAAAACCAGTAGTTCTGGTGGTGCTGGAGGTACTCCATCATCCAGAAACGTCGTCATGGGGGAAAGAAAGAGTAGAGAGGAATCAACATCAAGCAGCGCTGGTGGTACTTCTAGTGGTACTGAAACTATGCAGCTGGTGGGAAGCAAGAACATGGAAGGCGCTCACCACCTAGCAGCCGACTCCGTCGGCAGCCAGAGTAGCAAAGGCAACAGCGTACTAGGGAACAGCGAAGTTCCGACAGAAGTGATTCATCCTACTTCAGACGCAGTACCTGGAGGCACAACGGAGGAGCAATTGGTACCAGAATCGTCCTACCTCTTTCGGGAGAGCGTGTCTTCATCGTCTGCATCAGCCACTGGTGGAGGGTATCGCGAAGATTAAGGCTCGCAGTTTTGCTGTCTTTTTCTATCATCAATGTCCGTACTAGATAGAGTTAGAGGCTTAAGTTTTGCTGTCTTTTTCTATCATCAATGTACGTACTAGATAGAGTTTTTAGAGTATGTTCTGCTTAAGTCTATTTCCATGACGTTTTCATAGGTTCATTGTACACGACTTTCCGGCCGATGAGCTTAAGTTTTGCTGTCTTTTTTTTGAAGTTTCTAACTCGTAGAGGGAGCGATCGAAGTAGCCCCAATGGTTCCAGCCCCTCCGATTCGGCGGGAGACTAAAATTCTGGATGAGGATGCGATCTTACCCTTGCGGGAGCAGGAGTCTTATCAGCAGATTATCAGCAGCATGCTAGAGGAGATTGGCACGTTGAAGCAGAGTGGGGATAAGAAGTACAATTACATCAATGTGGCGGTTGAAAGAGAACAAAGAACGTCAACTACAGTCTATGAACGACAGAAGGCGAAGACTGTGCGTGCGTTTACTGGGATCATCAAACGTCTGTCGTCGGAGATTGAGATTCTGAAGGTAGACGGATTGGGTGTTGGACTGGGATCTCGTGACTCTTCCAGCGCGAAAACAGATGACATCAGAAGTGACGTAGCAGGACTTGGGAATTCCTTTGTCCCAGTAGGGGCAGGACAGAACAGCAACAACAACAGCAACAACAATCACACAGCTATTGTTCCAGTCGAGAAAAGTTCGTCACCCTTCGAACAAGTAGGAGGTTACAACCGGCTTTCTCCTGTGCAGATGTTTTCTAGAGATCCTGCAGATGGAGATTACAGCAGACGAGCACCTGCTCCGGTGTTTACTTCTAGTGGGTTAGAAACTCATAGTTCTCACTCCTCGGGTAGTAAAACAACCTCTCCAGAAGGCCATCACTTACCCAAGTATCTTCCGTTGACGGCGGAAGACCAGGAATTAGGACGTCGTGATCTGGGACGTCGGGACCTGGTGCCACGTAGACGAGATTTCTCGCCATTTCATAAAGAACGAGAAGTTGTTGGGTCCTCATCACTTCAGCAGAGGGATGTTGACATCCCGATGGTTCTGACAGCTAAACGACCTGAAGAAGACACGTCGATGTCGAACAATAATAGGATGAATAGAGTCAGCATTGCAGTAAGTCCCAGTGCAACTACAGTGTCTGCATGGCGTGGAGGGTCAGGTGGGTCACCTCCTTGTTCTAGAGGGGGACTTGGCTCTGCTTCACCCTCTAGTGCTGCTAGACAAGGGACCACAAGTGCAGTTAGAGGCCCACCAGGAACGACCAGAACTAGTCAAGCACAAATGGGATGGAACAGTTCGACCAAACTACATCCTAAAGCCGGCGCTCGAAGATCTGCTCGGAAAAAGGCGACGCCAGTCTTTCAATCTGGTGCTACGTCGAGGATGTCAACAGACGGATTAGACGTGTTTGGAGATGAGAATCCTTTTGCTACAACAGGAACAGTATCAGCATCAGCATCAGGAACAGCAAGAACAGGTGGACTACTACAACAGGGACAGAGTCGAGACAATGTTGGAGGCGGATCCCCCGATCCTGGGCTACTACCTCCTAAGAAACAACACAGTAGTGAAGAAATAACACAAGAAGTCGCACCACCACGATCAGCCTCCGTATCTCCACAGACTGTTGCTAGGGATATACGGAGGTTCAACAACACTACTAATTCTCAACAAAGTGGACTAGGAGACTTCAAGTTCAGAAGAAAAGGGGGTGAAGGTGAGGGGGCTAGCGTCGTGCTGGAAATGGGAGGTGTAGACGGAAGACCTACTGTTATGAAATGACTTTGGGAGAATTCATTCATTTTGCAGAGACGTTGTCCTCCTAGTAGGTGGCCTCCTAACTACCGATAGGGGTGTTTCGGCTTGTTCTCTAGTAGACTATAGAACCCAATAAATTATGTTACTATCCCAAATTATGTTCCTCCAGGGCTCGTCCCTTCGGTCTCCAAAAGAAGTGCGGATCTCCCTCTTCATACTCTGAGCGATTCCCGCTGGCCGCGACACCACGATGCTTGTGAATGCTCAGCAACGCGAAGAGGATATGAGCAGGAAATTGCAGAAGGCTGAGCAACGCTGCGAGAAGTATCAGGGTGACATCGACGAACTCCTGGAAGAGATCGACCACTTGCGGAAAGAGAACACGCAATTGCAGTTAGGGGTAGGTTAAAGGTGCTTTTGTTACCGTTTCTTATGGCGTTCCTAAGGGGGACATCCACAACAAGCGGGATAAACAAACACCAAAACCTACCTCTAATGCAGGATAGAAAGAAAGACGTTGAGAAGAGTCTCAAACGGTCCCAGGACGTGGAGAAGGAGAACGGGGAAAAGGCTGCGTTGCGTGTGGAAGTGCAGGCACTGCTGGAGGAGAAGTCGAAAACGGAGAGGAAGTTCGACGCAGTGAAGAGAAAGTATCTGTCGATGAAAGAAAAACATACGGCGTTGTTGCAGACGACGGGGGAACAGGATGATGGTCTTCTAGTTTTTGGTCTTCTAGTTTTTGGTCTTCTAGTTTTTGGTCTTCTAGTTTTTGGTCATCTTCTGATTTTTGTGCGATGGGCATTAGTCTTTCTGGCAGAATGAACCAGAACCACTATCTAAGAATCTCTTCCCCACGTCAATAAAGCAGCTGCCAGCGTGGTTTCCACTCCGTTATCGCTTTCTAGCGTGTCGCCAGTCCACAATCGCACTCCTTCGGGGTCTCCCAGAGGCTGGCTAGAAGCTGAGAAATACTGGCAAGAGAAGTTGAGATCGTTGCAAAACGAACTAGAGGAACAAAAAGCTGTTGCTAAGAAATGGGAAGCTGCGGCGACAGAGGCAGGGAGAGAGGCACAGGAATTAAGGGAGCTGGAGAAGGCGAGCAGAGAAGAAATGGATAAAATGAGATCGAGTAATATCAAAATTTTTAATTTTTAGTTGTTCGTTACTATCCATGACACGCTGTTCGTTACAATCTTGTCTTGCCAGTGCGTGGTTGAGAATGACCACCAAAGACGCATGATGATTATGATGATGATGACGATTGTGATGATGATGGGCGAGGTGTGTCTTCGTATTTTCATCGATTTTGGTGTAGCTTTCCTCCAGATGCTGTTGTTGTCCTTGGCTTCTTGCTTTCATCTAATGCATCAAGAGGTGAAATTCGAGTCACAACATGTTTTGAATCGATAGCAACTCCACAATTTCTTCAACTCCCCAATCTCTTTGGATATCCCACACACACACAGGCATCGACCCAAGTGTGGTGGCCGAACAAACTTCGGACTTTGAAGCCAGACTAACCGCGGAGCAAGAGGAGCATGCACAGACCAAAAGACTTGTGGACGGGCTTAGAATGGAGTTAGAGGAGAAAAGAAATACAGCTAACCAGTTGGAGAGATTGTTGGTTATGATGCTGTTTTTTGAAGATGAACCCTTGAGACCTTTTTTCGTTGCCCTTGATACAATATAAACCTGTACTTATATACCTTTTACCTATCCTTACTTTTTCTTCCTAGTTAGCTTGGCTCCACCCGTAATATAAACCTAGAATCATTCGATTAGAATTGGATGTAGGTCCACCTAACTAAATGCGATTAGGTCCACCGAACTAAATGCGATTAGGTCCACCTAACTAAATGCGATTAGAATTGGAATAATCTCGCCCTCTCTTGATCTCTTTCTAACCACGAAGCCGAAAGCAGCACTCTAGAGGCGAAGAAAGCTAATATGGACAAGCTGACGATTTCTCGTGAAATTTATGAAGTCAAGATTTCTGAACTGGAACACCAATTGGCCGAAACCGAGTACCGACTCAACGAGGCAAACGCAAAGAGGAAGCAAGCAAAAGGTGATGTAGAGGTGTTGGCGAAAATGATGCTAAGGGCGTACTAGGCATTGATAGTCATAGTTTGTATTCTTTTACTTTTTGCTTTTGCAGCATCCGTGGAGGAATGCTGGTGCACTTGCCTACTTCTTGTGTTGGAATCTAATGCTCTATTTCATCCGTTGTCTTCTTCGACGTTTCTCTTCTACCTAGACGTAGAGAGATCAACATGTAATTAGAGGTTGAATGAAAGATACAAAAAGATGAAAAACTCCCTCGCGGCACACTCCCTCGCACACGATCTCTAATGATAGAAGACGAATCTGAAAAGTTAACCGCAGCTTTGGCCATTGCGCAGAAACAAGCTAAAGCAGAAATAGCGCAGGCAAAGGAGGAGACGGAAAAAGTGGAGGCGGAGAAAGTGAAGGAGGAAGAAGAAAAACAACGACTGGTGGCCAGTCATCGGGAGGAAGTTTCACAACTACGGACACGGTATGAGACCCTAGTAGCGGAACACCATCGGATAATACGAGATAGTTGTACTGAAGAAGAACGTGGTGGTACAACTGCAAGACGGGAATCTCAAGAAAGATCAACCTTGTTTACGCAAGAGGAGTTGGAAGTAGGTGGCGGCTCTGCATCTACTATATTCGTTGCAGAAGAAAGACCGTCTCGTCGTGGGTCTGTGATCGTGTCCCAGCAATTGAAGTTATGACCATGTTCTAGCATTTTACTGCAACACCTTTGTCTTTCTTTATAGCAACCAGTTGTTCTATCACCTGTGCTTGTCTCATTCTCGTTGAGAGAGGTCTGTCACTACTGGGAAGCTTCCTCTCCACTCACACTCAGAGCACACGGACTGTTGTTGAATTTGCTTTCTAAGAATCGAAGCAGTAAGACGCAATACCACATTGGAGGACGAGCGTGGCGCGTTGCGTTTAGAGAGAGATCTCTTAATCGCGGAGCGGGATACCCTGAGGCAGAAGATTGAGAACAATAGGACTAGCTCTCACGAAGGTGAGAACAGGAATATTAGTACCTCTGTAGATATAGTTGAGGGTTCTTGTGGACAAAATGACAGCGTTATCAATGTTGTAGTAGCTGGTACAGCCACGTCAGAGGCAGTAGTGGGAGTAGCTGGCACGTCCTCAGAGAGGTCTTCTAGCAGACAACTGGTTTTAATAGCCGAACGCGATGAGGCGATTCAGGCTCGTGACGATGCTTTGGGCAAGATGGAGAAAGCTGTTAGGGAAAGAGAGGAAGCAGTTAGGCAGAGAGACGACGCGCTCAATGAGCTGGATAAGGCTGGACAAGAAGACGAACAGGATAGAGCAACGTCTATCTTCAGACGAGACTCATCTAGGAGGAAAACATCGCTTAGAGCAGCGGCGCAGCCGGAAGGCAGGTCAGTGTGGAGACCACATACTACGGCAACTGCGTTGAGGGTGTCCTCGTCTACGATAGAGGTTGAGGGAGAGGGAGGTTCTCCTGAACGAGGTACTTCTCCAACAGTGCCTAGAGAAACCAGAAGACCACAGGATACTACTACTACAGCTGCCCCGCTGGGTGCTTCGACGATGCTGCCTGCAGACGACGGAGATGATGAAGATAATGTACCGCCACAAGGGATATCACTAGTAGATGTATTATATCAAGGCGTAGATGATGATGAGATGCCTCACGGTGGTGCCTCTAGGATCTTTTCTTCGAGCTCTAGTGCTGGTGTACCTGTTGCCATCTCTTCGAACCAAGCTTCTGATGATGCAACTAGGAGACCAGAATCGCGAAACTCTATTTAAGGCGCGACGCGATTCATTTCTAAAAGTCATTTTCTTCTGTTTCCTTCTTAGGATTTTGAAGAAATGAAGGGCGAAAGAAATGAATGGCTTTTGGCTCTAATCTATGTCGAGGCCTCTTTCTTCCTCAGGACATGACGACGAGATGCCCAGGCTAACGATAACAGCAGCTTCTAGGCAGGTTGACTCTGTACAGGCAGCCAGGCAAGTGGATTCTACAGCTACGCGAACAACCTCTAGACGCGGCAATGACTCTATGCAACCTCTAGACTCTGTAATCGAGCGACCAGCTGGGGATTCTCTCCGGACTCTTACTCCTGCCGAAAGAGACAGTACAGACATCTGGCGACGCGGCAATGACTCCATGCAGCCTCTAGACTCTGTAATCGAGCGACCAGCTGGGGATTCTCTCCGGACTCTTACTCCTGCCGAAAGAGACAGTACAGACATCTGGCGTCCCGCAGACGAGTCTACGGCTTCCAGCCTTGCCCAACAAGTCGATAAAGATAGTGCCGGAACAACAACAAGTAAGCCTATGCCCCCTCCTCCACGCGCGTCTCAGCGTGGCGCTAGCATTGCAGCTAAAGCTGCATCACGAGGGCCTGAATATGACGAATTGGCTGTGGTGGAAGATGTAACAGTAGCAGAGAACCATGGCTTTGATTCGGCGGGAAGTGCATCAGCTGTAGCTGATCCTGAGATCGGAAGGGTGGACCGTGAGGGCACAACTACTGGCGAAAACAATGCCGCTGGTGCTGAAAACGATGCTGCTTCTGTCGAGAACAATGGCGCTGCAGCAGTATCTGACAGTGATGCCGTCATTGCACAGCGTGACTCTGCTGATAAAAGCAGTGCTAGTATTGCAGAGCAGCTTGAAGATCCCTCTCAAAACAACGCAGGAGCTGAGACTAGTGCAAACCGTAACTCATCTTCTGCGGAAAAGAATCTCGCCACAAGTCCTGAAGCAAACAATGCCGTCAGCTCTCTTGCGGCTGGCATCCTTGTCGAGCGCGACACTGCGGTTGCAGAGCGAGATTTAGCTCTTGCCGAGCGTGACTCGGTTTTATCCAAGCTTGACTCTGTGATGCAAGAGCGTGACTCAGCCACGCAAGAACGCGACGCGCTGAGCATGGAACGAGATATACTTACCCATGAACGAGACACTTTAGCGGAAGAGCGGGATAATTTAGCGGAAAAGTTGCAATTCGAGCTGGACGAGTTAAAGCATGTCCGAGACCAATTAGCTGCCCAATTAGAGCACGAGAGGACACAATTGGTCGAAGAGTTTGCGACCAAAGTGGAAGAAATTAAGGCTCCAATCCATCTTCAGAGAAGTTGTCATCCTAGGAGAGATGCTTTTCAAAGGTAGAAATATTGGCTCAGAAGGATGACCTTCACTCCCCCTGAAATGTCTTCTCAGGATGACCGTCTAGGGATTTAGGGTTTAGGGTGAGCTCTCTAGGGTCAGGTGAGCTCTAAAGAGAGCACTATCGACGCGCATCTGAAATACGACCAGAAACGAGAGTTGCTGCTAGTGGAACAACAAGAAGAAAAGAAGAAGATGGTCGCTGCTTGCGAAGAGAAAATGTGGAAGGTGGAAGAGTTGTGCAAAGAGAAGATAGAGCATATTTTGACCGAAAAGCGTGGGGAAATCGAAGCTTTGGTGTTGGAGAAAGCTAGTGCGGAAGACAAGGTTACTCAGTTGGAAAAGGAGCTGCAGGTTGTGAAAGAAAAGCAAGAACGTTATGTGCTGGACGGCGTAGAATTAATTATTCTCGACGTTGTTTATCTGTTTATTTTTGTCACTCTTGTTTCTCTCTTTTGGAATACTTCGCTCCTTCTTCTTTCTTTCTTTCTTTCTTTCTTTCTTTCTTTCTTACTCCGTCTCAGCATCTTCCTATCTCTTTTTCTAACGGCCGCTGAACGTGCAAGTCGCGGGCAAAGAAGAACGGGGCGATTACCTGCTTGGCAAAGTGCACGAACTTGAAGAAGAACTTGATGTGACGCGAGAAGAAGCAAGGAAAAAACTAGCAGATGCTGCAGTTGAAAGTTCACAACTTTTAGCCGCGTCGCGTCGTGAATACGAAGAACTAAGCACCAAATATATGGACGAAAAAGTAGAGGCTCTAGCCGCTTTGCGGCACGAGTTGGAAAGCGAATTTGCGGTCGAGCGCTTCAAACTGGAAACAGACGGCACCACTGCAGTCCAAGCTGCGAGCGCCACTGTCGAAGCAGCAATAGCCGATGCGACGAAGGAGCAACAGGTTGAATTCGAGAAAGAAAAGTCGCTTGCGTTGTCGGAATTGGAGCGGGAACTAGCGTTGAAGCACGACTTGAACCTAGAGCACCGTTTACGACAAGCAGAGTTGTTACTGCAAGAAGGGTTTTCAGTGGAGCGACAACGATTGAGGTTAGAATTAGAAACGGATTTCGGTTCTAGGAATTCTGCTGCTTTGGCGCAAGAAGCAACGCGATTGCGTGCGGAGTTTGATGAAGAGAGAAAGCAAATACGCGATGCTTCGGACACGAAAGTGAGGGATATGGAAGCAGCCTGTGAAAAAAAATTGGCCAGTGTATTGCAGGAGCAGTTGACGGTGCAGCAAGGGCACGAAGTTGCTCTGGCAAAAGAGAGGGAAACCTTTGCTGACGAGAAGAGAAGGTTGGAAGTCGATTTCACGCGCAAATTGTCCGATGCAGAGCAACAGCACGCTTCTGTAGTGCGGGAGTTGAGGCACGAACTGCAGAGAGACTCGGAGGCGATCAAAGCCGCATCTAGGGAAGAGTTAGTGAATAGGGCTCTTTCTTTAGAAACCACACACGCAGAGATGATGGAACGAGCTGTTGCAAAGAACAAGGAAGACGTGGAGAAAATGAGAGGGGAGATGGAGGTACTAGTATTGATCTTGTACTGTCTATGAAACCAAAATCTGTTATCATTATCGTACTTTTCTGCTTCAGAAACTTGATAATGATAACAGATTTTCTTTTCATACTGTCCCTTTGGATTAGTATATCTTGTGGAGAAAATGAGAGGGGAGATGGAGGTACTTACTAGTAGATCTTGTACTGTCGACTAGTATTTATCGTGTACTGTCGCTTTGGATTAGTATATCTTGTACTGGATTTCTCAAACCATTACTGTTGTACTGGACTAGTATATCTTGTACTGGACTAGTATATCTTGTATACGCTCTCAAACGATACATCTTGTACTCTACTGGAGAATCACAATCACCTTCGTTTTAATATGTCGCTTTTAGAATCTCTTGATATTGTTTAGGATGTATCAAAAGAAAGCACTTGCTCTTTCTTATGATTGCGTGGAGTCTTCTAGTTCGCACAATGTATGTTTGTTGCAACTGTCCATAATACCTCATCATACCTTAGATGAGCACAACAAGTTTTCCACTCTCCCCCTCCATACCGACCACCACCCCACCAGCTCCGGGAGCAGCGTTGGAAAGACGAATTGGATGTAGAGCAAAAGCGCCATGAGGCGTCACTGCAGCGAGAGCGGGAGATGGCTGAGTCCTTTTTGGAGAAAGAGAAAGCGCTATTCGCCAAAAGGCTGTCAGCCGAAATCGACAATGCGAAAACAGAAACGAGTAGGGAAATGGGATTGAAGTTACGAGGGAATTAGTAGTGTGAATTTAGAAGGGTGTCAACATCATTTACTCGAAAACTGAAAATAACCGAGTTACTGACTGAAATAAGGGAGGTAGCTCTGACAGGGCTACTCTTCCTTGTTCAGTATCTCGCTTATTGTAAGTAGTTACTCGCTTATTTCAGTTTTTCGAATACGTTGTTGTGCTTGTTAGTAGTTGACACAGTGTCGTGACTTGAGGGTAGAAAGAAGTTGTTTGATGTTGTTACAAGTGGGTGTTGGTATTCTATAATCAGATGTTGAATGACTTCAATAACATCAAAAGCTGCTCGGTGTGGCAACTATTTCTAACCACCCTCTCCGAAGTCAAAGCTCTCGTCGAGTCAGAAAAGCGTGCTACTGCTGAAAGCGAAAAACGCTGCGAATTGCTGCGTCGGCGCATCACAGAGCTAGAAACCACGCAAAAAGAACAAGCTGATAGGGCTTCTACACGAGAAGCTCACCTAGTAAAGGAAGCAGAGAGTCTGCGTTCAGTCCATAGTAGGGAAAGCTTGAGTCTCCGAGACAAGGCCCGTGACAACGAAGCGAAAATCGACGTGCTGAACCAGAAAGTACGCGAATTAGAAGCTTCTGTTCGGCAGCAGGAGACGGAGAAGGAGGAAAAGCAAGACAAAGTGTTTCACCTAGAGGCGGAGTTGGCGGAAGCGACGAGAACTATAGCCTTGAAGGACAAGGACCTGGAGGATTTGCCTGAGCTACTGAAGATGCAGGAAAGGGCAGAAAGGCAGCAAGAAGTGACTGCACTGAAAGAAGAAATAGAGGAGTTGAAGATATGATGATAAGAAGTAAGTTCAAGCAATTGTACTACATGCTGCAATTACAAACTCAAACCCTCATTTGATGTACTAAATCGTGTAGCTGCTTTAATAGAGACCATCTTCAAGAACAAATGTAAACCTGTATAAACAAGTTTCTTTGTTTCTGGGTGAGTTGATTCTCGCCATCTTTCTACTACCCCGCTGCCCCTCCCTGACAGGCAGTCCCTGTCAAAATCAATGCTGTCCCTTACTTCCACTCCACTCTACGCAGCAGCGCCTCTAACCTTCTCCGGCAAGCTGGCCGAAAAGTACATCGAAGACGCGGTCAGCGCTGAGCGGTCTCGTGGTTTAGACCTGCTGGCTCAAGTCAGGTCAGGCCACGAACGCGACTTGGCAGAACTGAAGGAAAAGCACAGACAAGCCCTACTCTTACGGCAATCCACGGTGCATCCTCAACGCCATCCTTTCGTCTTTTCGAATATTAAGGGGAAAAGTCGCCAAGGATGGCTTCAGGGAAAAGTCGCCAGAAAAAAAACGTGAAAGTTCTAAGTCCCCTAGCCGAAACTACCTACATCGAAGAACGGCAAGACGCCCTCAAGGACCTGGAGACGGAGTTGGCGGATGCTCGGTCAAAACACTGGGAAGAACTAAGAGAAACCGAAGAAGCTGTCCGCGATTTGGTCGTGGAGCGCTTATGCGCCGCTGACGCAGGTGCGACAGTAGCAGATGTCGAGAGGATCGACAATGCGACGTCCTTTAATCCTAAGAATTCGGCGATGGCGTCGAAGAAGACCATCGCGTCTCTGAGGACACGTCCTCCAATGAAAGCCAGTGCAGGAAGTCCTCCTGGTGGAGGAGGAACAAAGAACAAAGGGAATCATTCCCCGAAAAGTAGTCCATCCTTGATAGCCCAAAAAGCCCACAGTCCACCATCTAGTATTCGATCGTTGAAATCGATGAGAAAAAACGACAACAGTCCAGACAACTTGATAGGGACAAGTGAGCGGTCGTCACCAGCTATGCCTTCGAGTGGTCAAGTTATGGATTCTAGTTGCTTTTTTTGCTGTGATTCCAGTTCATTTCGCCTTTTTCTTGCTGTAGGAAAATTCGTGGTCAGATGCAGAAGACTTTCAAGAAAGATGGGTATTGTTTGGACAACATAAAGATAGTACCTAGTTCTTTAGTCTAGTTTTTGGCTACCTCTACATTTACGAAACGAATTGCACCAATAGTACAACACAAGAGCATCTCTAATCCAAGTTCCCCTTTCCCATCCAACGGCGAAAGTCGGAACAAGAAGGACGATGCAAAGCAATCTCCTTTTACGAAAGGCCTACCAAGGACTACTATGATGACAATCTTAGACAAAAGATTGGAGGAGTACAGGCAAGACCAAGAATCCCAAGTACAAAACCTCAACGCCCAGCTACGACAAGCGAAAGAGCAAAAGGATGAATTTGAGCGAAAATTAGAGGAGATGAGGAAGTTATGGATCGCCCTATGTGCACTACAGGATGGACATTTCTCACTACTCACAATCAACAGATAATTGAATTAACTAGCTGGGTCCTCACAATCAACAGATAATTAAATTTGCTCCTCTTCATCATCAGGAACAACAGGAACAGTCGAGAAACCACTAACAACCCAACAACAAGCTAGACTAGCGGGTAGAACTCGTCAGGGAAATCTTAGGCAGCTCGCCGAATAGATTCAAATCGTCAGTAGGTCCTTTTCTAACCCAAAGCACCGCAGCGGAGCGTGTAGACGAACTCGGGGAGGAACTAGAGGAGATGCGTAAAGCTGCTAAGCGTAGAGAGGAGGAATTTCATAAATTGACGAAACAGCTGAATCACGAGTGGTACACAAAGACGGAAGCTCTTCAACGTTATGGTAAAGGCTAGTAGTACCAGGAGGCTCTTCTTTTTAAGTATCTATAACGATAACTCACTAAGTGTAGTAGTACCAGGAGGCTCTTTCTTTCTTTTACCTAACGATAACTCACAGAATTGGATATATAGCTGTCTCAAGCTCTAATACGCAGAGAAAATCTCCGCCTTGCGCAATCTTGAGTCAGTGCAGAAAAGTGTGGAACAAAAAATCGCTGACCGCGTCCAAGAACAACTCGGCAAAGCTCAGACAGCCATCAAGGGGGCTGCCGCACGTGCGGAAAGCGAGCACGTGAGTGAAGTAGCTCGCCTGGAGAGATTAGTCCGAACTTTGCAAGCGCAACTGCATGAAGCTAAAGGGAGTAAGCTGTCGTCGTTGATAATGGCACAATCGCTGTCGCCTGGAGGTGGGGGAACGAGTCCTCAGGGCGTACGAGGAAAGGGCGTACGAGGACAGCAACAACATCTCCAACCAATAGGTGAACAAGCTAGTATTTTTGCCGGTGAACAATTATGGCTACCGCTGAAGCATCCTCATCACCATCCCTGGCGCTTTCTCTACTTGAAAAAGAAGCCAAGGATGCGCTGAGGGATCATGCCAACATGTCAGCTCTAAAACAAATAGGCGGATCTTCTTCTTCCTCGTCATCTTTACTCAATAAAGGCTTTGGTGCGCCTTCAGGGCTTCTGTCGCGGAACGCCAGTAAGATAGGTGCTGGATTCGATCTAGCAGTCCCTTCTGCAAGTGCGACTACTGGGAGACCGTCGGATGTGAAGAACGAATTAGAACGAACGATTAGCATTCTAGAGCAGGCAGTGTTGTCGGAAACAAAACAAGATCAGCAACCTCCCTTTAGTTTCTACACATTTGGGGGACAAGAACTTCTGCATGGCGGAACAAGTAGTGAAGAGCAGGTTTTTCTAGATGAACAATGTGGAGATCAAGATCCACACGGAGAGGATGGGGAAAATGATTTTGATGTACTTGGTCGTGTCACGAGCGCATTAGCTCCTCCATTTTCCAAAGAAACCTGTGGATCGACAAACTCATCAAAGAGGTCCTTTCCTCCTGAGCTTGAGCAGTACTATGTTCTCGATGAGGAGCAAGGAAACTTCCGAGAGCAAGGAGAAGAACTAATCGATGAAGAAGGACTTCAGGGGGAGCAAGGAAACTTCCAATTTCCTTCCTCGAGAAATGGTAGTAAGCTCTTTGACAGAGCCCATTACGAGGAGGCTGAGTGGATCAGGCGGACTGAGCTACTATTGCAAAGCGACCTTGCACTATTGCAAAGCGACAATGCGCAATTGAGCAATACGGTGACGCAGCTCTTATCTATGGTGGACGTGGAGGGGAATGTTTCTGCTAGCAGCCCACCGTCATATGAAGGAGCAGTCTTGCCAAGAGAGGAAGAAGAAGAAGAAGAAGATGGCCTACAACCAGGTCAGGGAACAACTGCAGAGACAGAAGCTGAGGAGTCGGCAGTGGAGTCTGTTGTAGAGTTGGACGGGGATATGCTGATTGAGAGGAGCTCTAAAGGTGCTGTACGAGGGAGTGCGGCATCTCCTCCGGACTCCGAAGAGGACAAGTCATCGGGGGCTTTGGGAAGTTTTTTCCGTTCCTGGTTGAGCTAAAACACTGTATATGCTATATGAAAATACATAGAGTCATGCATAGACTTCTTTTATAATTTAGCAGGATAGATACTACAACTACTTACCAATCATATATTACTTGAATCAATCGATCCGTTATATTGAGTTTTTGCTTGGAGCTTAGCCGATAGTATTTGAGCCCGTATTGAATGTCAACATCATCAATCAATCAATCAATTACGGACTATGCACAGTTATTGCTGCAACTATTGGATATGTCATCAACATCCTCGTCCTTGTCACTCACCAGAAATACAACCAATGTACTTAAATTATAGCCCATTTTTGAGCTAAATGTGCTACACCTACCACAGCTAATATATATGGGGCAGACGACGTGATTACACAGTTAGAGACATGAAGATCCGTTACCTATATTCACTTCCTATTTATTCACTTGAGACTTTGACTTATAGCTGCTGAAAAAACCACGTCATATTAACACTATGTAGAAGCTCTACCTGTCATGATGCGTTTGATTTTCCTTGTCGACAGCTACCGCATCGATTGAGACTCAAGAAAGGAAAGAAGTCCAAGATATTAGCATGGCAGCGACTTTCACCGAGATGAAAGGTGGTGCTGCTGTGTATCCGCTCTGGCTCATGAGCTGCTAGACTCTAAGAGCTTACGCAAAAAGAAATCGGCTCATTGCTTCTGCTTGCCATCGGAGGCTCTTCGAAGGAAGCATTTCAAGGTGTCTGTTTGTTGTTCAGGAAGACCACACCAGACCGGTAAAAGACACGATGATCCCCCACCATACCCTGCGTAAAGCCGTGAGTTTCAGCCGATGCTCTACTGAGCCATGAGCATCAAGTTGTTGTCCATGCCGAACAAATCATCTGGACCCACTTTCGAACAAATTGAAAGGAGTTCTTGTATCTATGAAGATATATTACAACTTGCTTGAGGGAAGACACGAAAAGAGCAGAGTGTTTTTCTTTTTTCTCAGGTGGATCGATCACTCATGATCATCACAGCCTCAACATAACATCAAAAACAGTTAGGAAACACATCGCTGGATGTCAACTTCCATCTCGCTATCTGTAAGAGGACAAACTAAAAATTTAGACATGACCATTATCTGAGTAAGAAATTTATAACTCATCTTCTAGACACAACCATCGTCTGCGCAATTTAGAACATGTAGGAAAAGGAAAATCCTAATCCAAAGAATTAGACATAACCAAGGGTGACTAAGAATCTTACTCTCATTGGTGTTCGTAGGCATTGGGAATTTAGACATAACCAAGGGTGAATAAGAATCTTACTCTCGTTCGTGTTCGTAGACATTGGGATATTAGAAGAACGTTTTTTTTTCAAAGTAGTCGTACGTGACACGTACAGTCTTGTGTATTTTGCAAAATTTCTTGATGTGGTACAGCAGGGACTCAGAGGCAAGTTAGTAGTAGTTTGGGCTCAATCATTCTTGTTGTTTTGCTGACTCAGAAGTTAGTAGTAGTTCTGCCACAAAATCTCGATAATAAGCAACTGTGGTCTATTTGCTTGCACTCTCGCCTTTTAACCGAAGACATGGTGAACCAGTTGTAACGACCAGAGAAAATTTGACTTTTATGTCAAAAAACTACCTCTATGGAAGAAAATGTGAGTACTTAGTCCCTTCTATGGTGGCGAAAATTTGAGTAGTCAATCACGATGTCGTGAATAGTCAACCACGATGAAGTCTAGTACTGTTTGAAACAAGAGAAGATGACAATCCTTGTGTCATGGCTTCAAGAAATAAAAGTACTACAGGACGACCGTCGAAGAATATTCCTGTACTAGTATGAAAAGTAGATGGAGATCGTGGTCAAATCAGAATCAGAGTACTATGCTATACACAGCAATAAAGCTGCTAAAGCTGAACTTTAACCAAGTAGACCCACATCTAACCTAACCTACTTGAAGGTGTTAAGAGAATATTTACCGTGGTGCTTGTACAAACGCGGTGAGTGTCTCTTTGATACTTAGCGTTGTTTTTGGCTCTTGAGTAGCCAACTATGTCAGTCTGCTAGTTTTCCTAATGGGCCCACACCTAACCTAACCTAGCGTCAGCAGTAAGAAGCACAAAAATCTCGAATATCAAGTGTGTTATATTTAGACGACTAGCTAGTAGAACTTGTTATTCGAATTACTTGCATTTTGTATCCTATTCCTAGGTATTAAGCACTAGATAACAACGAACGACCTTCGGGTATCTAAAAAAAACGGCATGCTTTCTATAGATATGAAAACTATAGTCTTTCCTGAATGAATGAATTTCCTAGGTAGGTTGGCTCCACCACAAGAAACTATAGTCTAACTACTCCAGCTACTGTCTGCATCTCCTGAAAAGGAAAATGCCCTTGCCCAGCATGGTTCTTTCCTGCACCTTATTGTTGTTTTTTGCGTGCAGCGTGGAACTGGTGGCTTCTCTACATCTCAAGCGGACTTCTTCGTCTGACGTGAAAATGAGCGTAACTACAGACGGAGCACCTGCATCTGGAATGAACAATCTTGGGGAACGGAGCAGGGTGTCTCCCCTACAAACAAGCAGAAACGAAGTACAACATGGCAGGAGTGAGCATGACCACCCTCAACTCGTAGATGAAGATGTAGTAGCTGCTGCAGTAGAAGATGAACAACAAAAGCTCTTTTTCCACCTGGAAAATGTTGAACAAGAAAAAAAGAAAAATGAGAAAGAACAGAAGGAACGAGAAGAGGAACAGGATGAAGCCTTGTCGGTATGGAGGATGGAGGCACGCAGAGCTCGGCGAACGAATTTTTTTGCTTTGGCTGAACTTCTACAAGTGGCAGCCTATGGTACAGCAGCCGCCGACAACTACTGCTGTGTATGCTGCTGCTCCTTTTTCGAGTCCAACCGTACAACACAACAGGTTGTAACTGGCATTTGTCGCAATAATGCTCCAGTAGCCGAGCAACACAATGACCTAGAAGAGGATATTTTTGACATTTGTGTCCCCTTGACACAGCGGGACCTTGATCCAGCACTCGATAGAACAAGCTATAGGCGTACCACTGCTTCGGCTCTTTCTCGTGACTTTGCTACAGCTGTTTTTTCCTCTACTTTGGCTGGCGCTGCGTCTTCGTCTTCTTCTTCTTCTTCTTCTGATCCTACTGCTGCTTCTTCTGGTCCCGCTGCTGCTTCTGGTCCCGGTGCTGCTTCCTCACACGATAGCCAGAAATCTGCTGCTGTTGTAAGAGAACCTCCAGCACCCTGCGAATCCGTGGCTATTCTAAGAGAATGTGGTCACCGGTTCCATCCTAAATGCCTGCAACTATGGAGCCAAAGCGCAGGTCGGATACCAAATCTGCCGAGTCCTGTAGGACAGCGCATACGGAATCCAGAAGCCCTTCGTTGTCCTCTCTGCAAAGGAATCTGTGAGTCCTTCGAAGTAGTCACAAGGGATGACATAGAAGCAGCTCGAAGAGATCCCCGACATGAAGTTAGAAGCAGGAGATCTCATCTTCGTGCACAAGAATTAAGGCTTGCCCCAATCCATCTTCTGAAGCATCTGAGACCTGTCCCATAAGGGGAAAATAGGCCCAAGATGAACCTCGCGATGGATTAGGGTGAGCGCTAAATAAAGAAGCAGGAGAAGTAGCAGAGGTGCAAGAAGCAGATGAGGATGAAAGAAGGACACAATTTCCTGCTCAAGAAGGTAGGAGCACGAAAGGCGGTAGGGGTCTTCTTCATGAAGTTAGAAGCAGGAGATCTCATCTTCGTGCACAAGAAGCAGGAGACGTAGCAGAGGTGCAAGATTAAGGGTTGGAAGTTGGCATCTCTATCTATGCGCATCTTCTCTATGGCTTCTTCAAGTAGGAAAGCCATAGATATGCGACCTACTAGAGGGGGGGCAACTCTCAACCTCTAACAAGAAGCAGATGAGGATGAAAGAAGGAAGCAACTTCAAGAAGGTAAAGATTCGGTGGAGCCTCCAGCGCGTGCTGAAGAGGAAGGTTCTTTGCGAGACCTTCTAAACGAACTAGAGGAAGCAGGAGGAGGACTTCTGGTAGGTGGACGAGGAGCAAAATTGGCAAGTAGAGGAGCTCGTACGAAAGGAGTATCCGAACAATCGTCCGAAGCTCCTGCATCTTCAAGTTCATCTTGTTCCGCCTCTTGTGCTGGTAAGGTTGCTGGAGATCATCATGGCCCAGAAGAAAGAGAAAGTAGTTGCAATATTATAAGTTCGCGCATTTCATCTCTACTACGTGCCTTCCGTGAAGAAGCCGCGGATCTGGTCCTGCGTCTGTTTTACGAGGAACTTCCATTAAGGCTCAACTTTCAATGGTCATTGGAGTTGGTCAGTGAGATCGAAGAGGCGACCCCTTGAGAGAACAGGGGAAAACGAAGGGAAAGGGGAGAACTTTGAAGGGGGTCCCTTCCGTTCAGAGTCAGTGACCATTGAAGGCTGAGCTTTAATTCCAGCAGTTTTGGTTCAGTCAAGCCCAAAGGAGCAATATTACCTGAAATTTCCCTGGCAGATGGACGATCCGGATGTTGCAGATGAGCGAGCAGCAGCAGGAGAATCAGCGTTACGGCATCATTTTCGTTTTTGATAGTACGTTAGTAGAGGCATGAGCATGCTTGTTTGCTGGTATGTTAGTAGAGGCATCATGCTTCGATTGCATTGCTATATTAGAAGTAGGTCATAGTTTTTTTCTCCTAGTTGCTACAGGTACAGAGTTGATACTTCTTCATCGCGTATATTGCATGACAGCTGTCCCCAATATGACTACGAATGGGTGAGCCCGGTTGTTCTATGCTCGTGCACTTATTACTTTTTATTTGTACTAGGGTGAGACGTCTTCTACAAAATCTAAGACTACCGCCAGGGCCAGGATGGGACGCTTTTTTGAGGGCACTCGACGGAGCAGAGAGGCCGCGCCGAGAACAAGCGGACCAGGGACTTCTTCTAGACTCAACGCTAGAACAACTACAGCCTAGAAGTTTAGAAGATGAAGCAGCACAAGTAGCACAAGTCCTAGAACCAAGACCAGAGGTACGTGATCCTGAAGGTGAAGGGCCTCCTGAGGGTCCACTTTCATCTACGACGTTAGAGGGAGGTCCTGGGTCGTATCCAGGTTCTTCTACGACATTAGAAGTGGGTCCTCCTGGTGTTTCAGGCTCTTCTGGTACAACGTTAGATGCGACACCACTTCCGGGAGATCTTAGTGTTGGAGCGGAAATTACCAGTGCTGAAGCTTACCCTCGTGAAACAAGGAACATAGGTTAAGGCTCATAATGCAACTCATTTCTAGAAGTCTTCTTTTTGTAGTGCGAGCGAGTTCCGTTAAGAACCTACCTGCGTGCGAACCCTGGCCCCTTCCTACTGTAAGGAAATGGAGAAATACAGGCAAGAAGTGAATTATCTTAAGCTCTAAATAACGCTGTCGACGTCATCAACAGCCTCTGGAGGTAGAACTTCTGGAGAACCTGAAGCTGATGGCCAAGGAAGAAGGCTACAGTCGCTTGCCGGATTCTCTTCGACGTCTACAACAAGTACAGAAGCGAATGGTGCGAGTTTTTCTACAAGTTTGTCTTCCAGTTCATCGCGTTTACTTACTAGTGGTGGCGCGGGTGGTAAACCTTTGGGAGAGGCACCAACTAATTTGAGCTTCATTGGTGCTCTGCCTCCACTGTTGAGTAGTAGTGGAGGTTACGACGAGATTAAGGGTTACCACAATGTATTCTTCAGTACCATCCTTGACTTGTTTTCCAGTAGGAAAAGGGTCCGGGATGATCTGAGGCATGCAATGTCACAACCTCTAAGGCGATGAGTGAACAAGATCCTACTCTTACCCCTGTTGCTCACGACACTGCGACTGCATCAAGTAGTATGTTGTTTGACCCTTCTAATAACACTCAAAGAATCCACCTGGTGAACGCGTCTGCCAGTAGTAGTAGTAGTAGTAGTACACCGCCTATGATGTTGGAAGGCATTGTAAATGACGTGGCAGCCGTTGTACATGATGTTGGAGGAAATAATGTTGGAAACGGTTTGGCTGACATTACGCGTGGTCCTTCCCATGGTAACTCATCTACTTTGTTAGTCAGGCCTCTAGGAGGATACGAGGGACGAGGTCCGCAAACCCCTGCAAACCGGCGTTCTCTCATTCTGGGCCGTCTGAGGCACGCCAGGAGAAATACAAGAATGCTCCCTGGTATCACTACAGAACCGGACCTATCATATGTGCAAACACCTGCGCAAAGCGACCGGGAACAAGAATCAGTAGACCGGGAACAAGAATCAGTAGACCGCGAACAAGTAGTGGAACGCGAACAAGTAGTGGAGCACGAGCAAGTAGTTGACACACCGTCCTCAGCAGACGAGGGTGGAGGCCAGCAAGGGCGACAGGAAGACGCACCTAACGACGTGGTAGATGGGCACACACATGAGGACGACGGAGACGATTTGAACGTAGGAGTTGTTCCCATGCAGGTGGATGAGCAGGATGCCGATTTCAATGCGGATATTTTGTCGGGGGTGTTTGTACTGCGAGATCATCAGCGGACAGTCTATGCTGGTGAAGATAATGCTACGAGTACACGAGGAGCTACACGAGGACCAGAAACAAGTTCGCGAAGTACTTCCTTCCATGTTGATGTTGATGCGGACCGACGTGCCGCTGTGACTTAAGGCTAAACATGGACATTTGTATTCTGAAGAAGAAATACGGAATCATGTTGCGTAGCCTTTTGAACTATTCGAAAACTCAAAATAACCGAATTATACTGACTGAAATAAGGGAGGTAGCTTGTCATCAAGGCTACCCATCCTTGTTTTCAGTAGTTACTCGCTTACTTTCAATAGTTACTCGGTTATTTTCAATAGTTACTCGGCAATATAAGAAAGAACGAACCCACCAAGTGCAGAATGCCCAAGATGACTACCCAAACATGTAGTTTCTCTCTAAGCCATAAGGGCTGGCAGACTGCTACGAGACATTCGAGCGTTCTCCGAGAGCGTGGAACAGTGTTGGGATCTAGTGCGGGACCTAGTCCAAACAGAAGCTGAAGCCGCAGGTGCTCAAGACACTGATGAAGAAGAGACTGATCGTAGTAGTGCTTCTCGTAGCAGTGCTTCTCGTAGCAGTGCTTCTCGTAGCAGTGCTTCTCGCAGCAGTGCTTCTGAACAAGAACACGGCCGAGCAGGGAGTGCTGGTCATGCTTCTCGTAGTGGTTTTTCTGAACAAGAACACGGCCGAGCAGGGATTGCTGGTCATGCAGTTTTTAGTACTGGAATTTCTGGTGATTCCCCTCCTCACGCACCTGCTTCATCTGGTCTTCAAGAAGACGGAGGTTCTGCTCATGTCCAAGACGTCGTCGGTGGTAGACGTAGAAGAGGAACAAATGGTGCAACGCCTGCCACATCCGAGGAACGAGCCGGAGCCCCTTCTACAACTGACAACCAAACCGGACCGTCTTTGACCAGGCACAACGAAAACAGAAGCCCTCGTACTCCAACCTCTTGGCGTCGTCGTTTCTTCAAAAACCTGTACAAGAACATCAATAACTACAAACTTATCTGCAACAAATGGAAAAGAGTAGTCGGACGTCGTTGTACTCTTAAGGGTCGTTTCCTCCACTCACTTTTTCCTCCTGCACTACCATTCTTGGCTTGTTTCCCAAATTTAGGCAAGAAGTCAGGGATGTTCTGAAGAATGCAATAGCGCAACCTCTAATAATCGCAACTCTTTCAGACTGCATACGCTTCTGCCCATCCTTTGGAGGACTCGGAGTCTTTTTCATCTGTTCATGCCGCGTTCGTGTGGTATTACCAAGCGGTGGAATGAACTTGCGCCAAGAATTCTTTATAGTACCACAGGAGACGAAATAAATGGTTATGCTTATGGTGACTATAACTTTGGAAGAATTAATATTTGACTAACTTTTATTTGGATCATTCTGGTAAGATAGGAGCAAATAATGTACTTGATACTAGATAACCACTCACAACTTGTCTTGAACTCAGTGTAGTAAAACCAGGAATGAACAAACTTCTTGTACTTGTACCAGAAGTTCTTGGGGAAAATATATCAAGAATCTACGTGTGACTTGTGAGCAGGTGCCGGCGGAGCTCGATGTGATGGATCCACAACCTAGCCTAATCTTTGCATAGTAGTCTATGCTGCGACTTCTGCTATTAATTGCGTTCATCATGCGTTGTCCAGACGAGAGCTTGCCAGGTACCTTTTACTGCAAGAATGGGGTTTGGTAGCCATGGCCATGGCAATAGCCGCTTCGTTTATCACAATACTAGCGGAGACTTGGTACATGGCTTTCCTTTAAGGGTTTCCATCGAATTGCACTCCTGGGCTTTTTGTTTCTAGAAGAGACTATTCTCGGCTTTTCTAGAAGAGACACACATACCAGGCTATCCTTGGCTTTTGGTTTCTAGAAGAAAATAAGAAGTCAAAAAAGAAGATGGTCCTCCGAGGAATCTGTTCCTCTCATCCTGTGTGAAATATTTTTCTCCAACTATCTAAAAGTTTGTAGCAAGGTTAATATAGTTGTTCCCTAACTACAAGAACAAGAACCTGTTCTAATTCCTGTCACACCGCCAACCGTTTTGCTTCGTACCGATTTCGGCTCGAGAGCGGGAAGACCTCTACGATCTGTGGTCGGAAATAGATGAATTCAGCAACCTAGGGTTTCGTGCCGAAGCGTCCGCAGTTTGTCAGAGGGCGATTGAACAACTCGACAGGAGTCCTTTCACACGTATGATTCTCTCCTGGGCTGCGCGGGACGACTTTGCCTTCATATTCGGGCGAGCCCTTTTGGGTGCGGTTGGTTTCACTATTCCGTTTGTTCTCAGCACGTTTGCGACGATGCTTCTCACCGTGTGGATACACTATCTAGAGGATGCAACGTTGCAGGCCACTCTTTCTGAAGTTGAGGCTACCGCTGACGCATCCTCAGCACCAATCTTGGCTTCTTTTCCAAGGGCGAAAAGAGGTGTCCAAGGATATGGCTCTCAAGGAAGATGCGATGCGGTAGCTCTAATGAAGGAGAAGCTGGCTTAGATGGTTGCACGCGTCGACTTCTGCCTGCCATCCTCGAGTACTTTCCTGATGCCGTAGAGTTGCGCCAGCGACGATTATCTGGACAAGACCAGAACGAGCCGACATTAAGGGGCAACTATTGAATTTACATCACGGACATCCTCCTCCTTCGAATGAATTACATCCCTTATAAGACTCCTTTTTTCAACAATTAGATGCTCAACAGCTCTGCAGGATGTAATGCTGCAACGTCTAATAGAGGAAGTACCCTCAGCAAGGGCAATGGGAGTAACAAGCGAAGGACGTAGTTTTCTACGACGCCGAGAGCAGAATGATAGCGACGAAGAGGTGGCCGTTGATGACGATAATCACAGAAGGGACCGTGGACCTACGTCTTCTACTCCCTCTCAATTAGGCGAGGCAATCTCCCACGTCGTTGATGTTATAACAGAGGCTTCTCGCTCTCAATCTGCAGGTGTAGGAAATGAAGATATCTCTAGAGCCATGAGGGCATTTACGGAAAGCTCTGCGAGAACCTTGCATGTGATCATAGACGCGTACAGACGTGAAATCAGACAGTTACAGGCACGTTTGGGTGTGTCGGGAGAAGATGAAGAGAGGGAAGAAGGAGATGGAGACTCAAGTGGAGGGACACGAGCTACAGGAGCTACAGGTAGATTTACAGTGTCTGGAGCTGGTATATTAAGGCTCAACTTTCAATGGTCACCATTGAGATTGGGGTCACTGAGATCGAATAGGCGACCCCTTGGAAGGGATCGAAGAGAAAACGAAGGGAAAGAAGGGGGTCTCTTCCGTTCAGAGTCACTGGCCATTGAATGCTGCGCTTTAAGTATAGCTAGAAGAAATGGGCCTGGAAGTAATGGAGCCGTGAGCGATGTCCTAGAGAAAGGCGAAAGGAGCGCTGCATTCCCATTGGGAGGCAGACTATGGCTTTTGTAGACTTCTGTACGTTGTTATTCACACTTTTCTGACTAGCAGTTTTCATAATAGTACCAAACAACTACATCTACTAACTGTGTTGTTCGTTCCACCTTATATCCACTGAAGAAGCGGACGATCATGGGTACTTAAATTCGTGCTCGTCCTGGTAGTGACCCCTTTTTTATGCATGTCTTCCAGTATGAGTAACTCCTTGAAATGTGAAATACTCGATCTCTCTAACACGACCTCCATACGAGGAGCAACAAGCCCAGAGGCTTAGGGCTAGGGATGATGCTATCAAGGCGCTTTTGGATGGAGCGAAATGTTTCAGGTCTGGATGTCCAGTTGCAGGACAAGGGACAGCGTCTCCCGTTGCAAGTTCACCATGCACACCAGCATGCTCCATGTCTTCACTCTCCGGCAAAGCAGCATGTGGCACGAATGCATGCTCATCTTCTCTACCAGCATCGTTATCAGCAGCTGCACCAGCTGCCGTCTTTGAAGGACCTATACATGCATGCTCAGCATCTCGTAAAGCAGACTCAGTAGCAAAAGGCAAAGCTCGTTTCGACATGCTGGCCTCTATCCTAGAATCGCAAAGACTGGCAGAATTGGCTTCCCTTCAACAAGGTTGTAAGATTGCTGATGGACGTCCCTTGAAAAAAACAATCTTACCTCGTCCAGCACATACAGAACCAGGATCATTACCTTGTATGAAGAAAGGAAAAAGTGCACTCACACTCAAGGAAGTAGCTACTTTCCTACTTGAATCCTAGCCAATTTCTTGAGTGTCAGTGCACCTTTTCCTTTCTTCATACAAGGTGATAGTATTACAGAAGCGTCAGGACCCTTGAAGTTTGCCAGGAGAGGCCGGCAAGATTTCGAAGATTTCGAGTCCCTTATGAAGAGTAGTTTATCACTATCCCATGTGGACTATACTGAGTGAGATCCTCCCTGATCTGAAGGAGAAAATAAAGGGGGAAGAGGGCAACTACTCACTCGACCAGGGATAGTGAAAAGCTACCTCTAACTTTAGGATGATCCGAGTCTATCAGAGTCAATGCAGGGAAATGCTTTTTCAGTACTTGTTGTTGCAGAATTCTGGTGCGGAGGAGAGAGTGGGACACGAAGTAAGGGACGAGATGGAGAAAGCAGTAGACGAATTAGTGCACGGAATGGAGAAAGTACTAGTAGACGAAAAAGTCGACGAGTTGTTGGTCGGTGAAGAAGCACTAGATGGTGTAACGGAACAGTTGTCAAGGTGTTCTATCGCCGACTGTTCTATCGAAGATAGTACTAACAATAGTACTTGTGATGTCAACGAGAGTGAAGTTGACGGAAGAGGCACAGTTGGCAAGCACGATATTGTGGCGGGTGAGACAAGCAACAGCAACGTGAGTGGCGGAGGCAACGATGATGACCAGAAGTCAAGCCTTATGTTGATGTCGGTATTTCTAAATTTGACATACAACACATATGAATTATGTCCTCCTACGCCTGATCTCAATAGAAATTTCTCAGGCACGTCTACGACCGTGATGCAGTGGACCACGTTGAAGATGTTATATTTTGCTTTTTCTTATAAATTTTCTACCCAGTGGTCGGGTTCGAAGTCGGCTGCCATTTGGATGATCTTATAAATAAGGGGGTAAATAATTGATTGAAAGGGTGGCAGCATATAGTCCTAACTCAAAAAAAAATAAACCCTACGGTGGTCGCGAGTGACCATATGAGGGGCACACACACATGACATATGCTTCCCCCCACCCACGCAAACATCACATCATCTATCTTCTTTCATGCTTCCCGGTGCATCACCTGGACCTCCTTACCCGTTGAAGAGGAAGAAGAGGGGAACATCGTCCTCAGGAGCTGTACAAGCAGGTGAACTCGAACTGGACCACCAGCTTGAAACGATGCTTGCGGATGCGTTGCATATCGCGGGGTTTGTGGAGACGGAGGCTTGCGTTTTCGTCCAGGCCTTTCCGGAGTTTGATGAGGACCTGATTACCCTGCAGCTGATGGCGAAGATCGCGAGACAAGTTCGAAAAAAATTCATGACCTGACGAGATGATGACCTGACGAGATTCTAAGGCTCTCGAGATCATGACCTGACGAGGATGATCCATAACCTAAGTAAGCTAAGTAATGAATAATGGCCTCATAACCATTATCTGGTATCGGTATGTCATGTCTGAGGCTCATTTCTGTGGGGTCCCTCATGATCGTCAGCACATCCGTTTGACTCTACAGATTGGAGTTCAACCGGATACGCCTTGCGTGAGAACGAGGCAAAGGCATCCTATCCGATCCTATCAACATTCCTCCGCTTATATCTGAAGAAGTAGAGGGGAAGTGAGGGGTCTATGCTTGTTTATTATGGGGTCTTGTGCTTGTTTATTATTGATGCGTTCGCTTGAGCAGAAGTATTTTTTACGATGAATCTGAGTCTGAGATTGAAACCAAAGAAGTTGTGATTATAGTACTTGCATAAAGATATTTTATTAGTGATTATAAGTAGTTGCATAAAGAAGTCAACTTGATTTCAAAGGGAGTGAAACAAGAAATGAAGCCTTTATTTCGTCTCGCTGGTGGCCCATGATGGTCACTAGAGTGGAATGGAGTGACTTACTCCTAGGTGCAGGCTTTTTTTGGAATCGGCATTCTATCAACGCTATATTTTCGGACTTCTCACTTCTCTTCGCTAAGATCTAACAACATGCTTCCTATCTATTTCCACCATCATAGATGTAGATGAAGATATGATGATGATACTGTAACATAGATCAAGTTGAAGATATCACCTCTGTATCAACATACAAGTGAAGTCCAACTACTCTTTTTTCGCGAAATCCATCCCTTTTTTTTATGTCCTACGTCTGTCATCCTCGAATATTAAAAAATACGCCAAGATGGAGTAGTGGTGTTTCGGATGCGTCAGGCTCTGTGTTCGTGTGCTCAGCTACGAGTTCAACTATTAGAAATCTCGCTATCCGGGGCGTCCCCTGGCAAACCGCTTAGTGAGAGTCGTACCCTCGTCTGACGACTGACCCTGCGCGAGCACGCATACTCAGTGAGGCACGACGAGCAGTGACGCGGTCATGTCCGCTAGATTCGGACCACCGCGCATCGCCACTTGATTGATTGGTAAGAAGTAGTGGCGTTTCGGATACGTGCGAGATTCTGAGGCAAGAGCGCGAAGGAGAAAGTGAGATGAGTCATATTGACGCTTGGCGTGCTTAATCGAAAAAAACGGAAAAAACCAAAATTACGGAAAAAAATGGGAAAAACAAAATAAATATTCAGCTGCCCAAGAATATGTAGCTAGTTTGTTCAAAAAGCAAAAACCATGCCTCGAAAGCTGAGCGCCCCTTTAGGTGGAACAAAGGGGCTTTCCACCTATTTTCGACTTCAGGATTAGCAGGTATTAGCACCTGAATGATGTCAACGCAGAACGTAGTCGGGCGCCTATCCGAGATCCTCGGAGAGGGCAAGCGGGAAGTCTTCAAACTGTCGCAGGAACAGGAGAAGCACTGTCTCAGCATCTTCAAGCAGCACGACCGGTTACAAGTAAGGCGATATTATAGAAGACAATGATATTAGAAGACAATCTGTGTAAGATTTTCTTGACAATCTGTGTAAGATTTTCTTCAAACTTGACCAGGGAGGGTTAGACCTGAAGTACATGACCATGGCCATTAGAAAGTCTGAATGCAAGACTCTAACTCCAATGGACTTGCTGGATCGAGGGGGCTTCCGCGATGCTTTTCAGGAGCTTCTGGGGTATTTTCTTCAAAATTTGGCTAAACAATTGTTCCTGTTAGGGATCTGAGTACCAGGATGAAGATCAACAGTAAGGTCAGCACTAAGCTCATGACTACGCTGGTGAATGCGTGACCTTTATTATGATAACCCTCTCCCATATCATCGCCAGAAAATTCATCTTTACTCATCAGAGCTCGTCCCGACGACGAGGAGCAGGCATTGTATTACGGCAGCACTGCGAAAACGGTTTTCGATACCTGTTCTGCGGATCAAAATTATCTCACCTTAAAAGACTTCCAGCAAATCTACTGCTTGTTGAAGCGCGACGAACTGTCCAAGGCGACTGAGGTGCGGACTGAGGTTCGTGCGAGGTTGAATGCTAAGAGGGATGAACCGAAACGGAAGTAGTATAAGCTTTTGATGGTGGTGGTCATAGTGTCGTAGTTAGTTTTCACTTCATCTTGTAAGAATCGCTGTCGCTATCGATGAAGAACGTGTAGCAGTGAATTTTTGGTATCTACTACGTAGCAGGATGACAAAGCAGGCGCCTTTGCAAGGACGACGTCGAATTGATTATATGTGTTCACTTTGACGGCTCGGAAGAATTTGAATATGGGTCTGTTGAGTCTATTGCTTGGGAAAAGGAATCATCGAAGGAAAAAGGAATTGGCGTCTGTCTAGTCCATCGTAACTCGTAGATGCAAATTTGGGATCGGGACATCGAACAACTGTAAGACAAGGAGGATCCCTCATTCTCACCACCCCTCACCAACCACCTCTCTCGGTCTCTGTCTCTGTCTCTCAACTTATTTTGAAACAACATTCAACAAGAGTAAGATTTTTCTTCTTTTTTGTAGTCGCAAACGCTTTTTCTTCGTTGTGTCTTTTCTTTTATACTTTAGGCTCTATTCTGCACTGCTTTTTATCGTGACACCTACTACCATAAACATAGATTCTAAGACTTGTGCACTATCAAAACTTCTTCTAGTAGTTGCTTGTCGTGGTTTAGTACCACTGATATCAACCTGTGTGTTCAATAGAATCACACATCATCTCATCTACATCAATAGAGTGACACATCTCATCTCCATCTTCTTGTTCTTTTAGAAGCATGCTCGTGCAGGATACTAAGGAATTCAACTACGACGGCCTACCTCTGACAACAACTACATCTATCTTCAAGACGAAATAAACTGAGAATTCGCTTCTATATCGAGACCAGATCTTCACCACATCGATCCGCCACCAGATCCACGACATCACCAGAATGATGCTGACTTCCACTCCTCCTATGTCTCCGATTCGGAAGACGAGGGATGAACGTTTTCGCAGTATTTTTGGTAGCGCAGGAGAGCCAGGAGCACCTATGAAACTGCCTCGTACTAAAGAGTCTTGGTGCCCCTTTCCTAGCGAGGAAACGCGGGACTACCAGCTAACTGTTAGCGGCCATTTTGCTGGAGGGAATAAGTTATGACGTAGATGTCTAAGTGTAAGTCTAAGTCTAAGTCTAAGTGAGCTGGAAGAACAATTTGTTGGATAAATGTCGTTCATCAATTCACGCCTTTCACAGTACTACAGGCCAATAATCAATTGTGGTTTACTAGGAACAGTTCCAATCAGGGATGGCGAAAAATCAGGTCCCAACATGCACTTTCTAATTCTCGATTCCTCAGCAAGCCTCGAATCTTTCTAATCCTCTATTCCTCAACCATCTTATTTCTGTTGCATCTTTGCGAGCTTATTTCTATTGCATCTTCCACTAAGATCATCTTATGAGTACGTGAAAACCGAAGATCAGGGCGTGTTGCTTTTTCATCTTCCTTTATTTCCACCAACTATATCCTCTAATCCTCTATTCTTCAGCAAGCATGGGATCAGAACCTGGTAGTATAACCTCCAGTTTTCTCGTCAACGTCGATGAAGGAAGCTATGCATTTGTCGAAAAGAACAAGGCAGCAGCAAGTGAGCTAGGAGGAAGATCTTCAAGCTCTTTTTCATCTAGTAGTGGACGAGGGCACCGTGGCTCTACACACCGAAGGAACGAAGAACAGGCTTTTCAACCTAGTCCTGTTGTTCTGGATGTGAAGTTTTCTGCTATTATGGCATATTATTAAGTTGAAGATTTTATTAAATAGTGGTGAATCATGGACCTGGTCTTTCTCATCATGGTCGCTTGGCCCTATAACTATTCGAAATCTTCAGGCCCTAAAGTATTCGAGGATTTCATCTCATTGCTGTCTACCTGAAACATAATTGCTATTCACTGAATTAATCATCAAAAGCAAACCCTACTCATCTAAAGCCCTGATCAAGTCCAGCTTGGACGAGGATGTCGAGATCCGCACACCGAGGAAGATCCAGAAGGTCCGCGAAAGTATGCGGGGATCGGTAGGCAGTACAACAGTGGGGTCTCCCTTTGACGACTCCGCTAGTGGTCGCTTCTCAGCGTCTACGTCTAGGTCCGACATGAAGCGGACATTGCGAGAGCGAACACGCAGTGGAGAGCGCGTCCGAGGGGGTGTACAGCAGGGTGGAACTGTACAACAGGGTGGCAGGAATAGTGCCCCTGGGGGTGGCGTTCAGGGATAACATAGAACATGATGCATCAGGCTCCTGGTGGTAACACACCTAGAAGTAGTATGTAATCAGTCGTGTGTGAAAGGCTGAAAGTAGACGATGTTCTTGAATGGGATTGTAGGTACTGAATTTACAGTGTTCCTTTTCTAACTGAACAGCATTTATAAAGATGTAGTAAGCAGATTGTCTGTTTGTGCATCTAGAATAGAAAGCGAATCATGATAGTCGAACTAGAGGTATTTTTCTGTAACATAAAATGATTGGGTCTTTTTGGGGCTAATGTACTTAAATGTTTGTTGTAAAGGGAAGATGTTGTGATCATCGATGAATGTTAAAAAGGTAAGATGTTTTTAAGAAAGGTATCAAGCATCCTATTGGAAGCTACGAGTCTACTTAATTCAATTGTGCATAAAAGACAGTAATTCGCAGAGCAAAAAAGACAGTAATTTCGAGCATTACACAGAGCAATGATGTACATGAACATGATACGATTGGGAATTATAAGATAGCATTATTGAGATCTTCTGTTACTTGATGAAGATGTTGAAAGAAGATCCCTCTGTTGCTGAGAGAGAGATCTGAGTGACTCTGTGGCGTGAGAAAACGAGGGGAAACGTTTGACGTTTGAGAAAATGTCTGTCCTACGAGGTGAGAATGCTCTGATGAGAATGACGTGCAGGAGATGCACATTTCTGTTTAGACTGAGGGAAATCTGTACCTCTCTGAGTGATGGAGTTTTACACTTGAAGATCGTGTACGAGAAGAGAATGTTGTGTATTTTCAATGTTAAGCCTAAATCCACTTTTGCATCTGATACATTTTTCAGGCCCTTGCAGAGATTGTCATGAATCCCCCCTTACGCATGTATACCGTCTTGGTTCGGATGTAGGTTGTAGTCCCTATTCTCAATGTATACCGCCTTTGTGATATGATTACGCATACCAGCATGTCATCTGACTACATTATGATTTGTTTGCCTTAGGATCGGTGTTTTTTAGGAATCAGAGTATCGATAAGTTCCTCGCGTTAGTCCTTGAGTCCACAGAGCGACAGCATCAACCCTTATGAGCGACAGCATCAACTAACCCTAGAGGGTAATTTCTTGATTACCTTTTCTTAATTACCTCTTCGTAATTACCTGCTTCCTCTTCTTAATTACCTTTTCATCCTACAAAAGAAAATGGAAGCCTTTAGTCCCCAGCGCGACAGCATCAACCCCAGAGGGTTTGCGATCTGCGAGCAGACAGCTGCTGAGGCACTGGAGACCATGGACAGGTGTGACCATTTTGGCCGTTATGCATCGCGTGTCCGTCTTTGGAGACAAGTGCTGGACGTGGATGGGAAGGTATAATAAGTATGGGAAGGTATAATATTTTTGTGCTCATAATTGGATGCTATCATGTTGCTGAAGTTAGGTAGATGGAATTAGTTTCTAGGACCAGTAGAATTGCTAATATCGATGGAGGAGGTACTAGAGGACTGCTGCATTTCTTGTCAAATTATGGAGTCGCCCGTTTATCCCCCGGAGCTACATGACGTCGATTCATGAAAATAATCAGCCGTAGTATTTTTGACTGTATCCTGTTCCCTGGATTGAGTTTACTACTACTTCCACTACTAATATCAAAAGATCCCATATCAAAATGGCCATCAAATCCATGAATACTACATGAAAGTTCAAAATCCTAGGTTGAACATTCAATACACCACATGATAAAGATTCATCAAGAACATTTGATTCACAAAGAAGGACTGTACCCCTGGATTGGCTCCTTTACTACTACTTCTACTATGTTAGTACTAGATACTATCACAATATCCCACAAGAGCGAGGAACATGAAGATCAAATCGCCATTACAACTACAGGGTTGCATCTCTCAAATGGAGTTCGTTGCAGCTATGCGTGCGGTCCCCGAACTCGAGATTGACGCTTTAGTCCTCTGGCGTGCTCTAACTGGAGACCGATACGGGGACGACCGCATGTACCTAAGCGACTTCGCTCCTCAAGCTACAGTTAAGAGTTCTTCCCCTATAGCCCAATCCATCTTCAAAAGTCGTCCTAGAGAGAAGTCATCCTAGACAACTGGGTACAACTCTACTACTACTTCTACCAGAGCAATTTATATGGTTTCACAGCTCGCATGGCATGGAGTGCATGGATCACATGGAGGAGCTTGGAGCTAAGGGGGGAGCTTCTTGCGCCCCTTAAAGCGCTGCGCTCCATGCACTCCACCATGCTACTCCATGCGCCATGCGTGCTATAAGCTACTCTGTAATTATCTACTAGGTGGAGAGTACTAGAGGCTTTATTTGAGTACTCAGCTTTTGAAGGGAAAATACAGGATGTTCTACCAGGATGTTCTACCAGGATGGCATGAGATCGATGGATTAGCTTTAGTGTGCTGAGGTCTAAGACAGCTTTGCTCAAGAGTTTTCTCCTTTCCAGTGTGGTGCATTTTCTGGGGATTGGGGAAAAACACATTGATTTCGACAATTTCGGAACGGCGAGTTCTTCCTACCTGCAGAGCGCCGTAGCTGACAGAACCACTCGAAAAATTTTGCCGGCTCCTAAGCTTGCTGCAGCTCTTAAAGAAATCCAACAAAAACGGGCTGAAGCGAAGCTGAACTGGTGTCCTGGGCACGATGTGGCGAGATTGAGTTTGAGTGTCTGGGCCGCACTCTTGGATGCAGAAGCAGGCACCACGAATGCAGCCGGAGGCTCAAGAAAGAAGGGAGGTAAGGAAATCGGGAGCACACCCGGTGGTGGGGTCCAACGATGTGGGAGTGCGGCTATGCGGGTATTATTGCAGGATATGCGACAGAGTTTGCGCGAAGACGTCCAGTTGGAAGATGGCTACCTGCTGTTCACGCACATGATTAAGGGTTGGAAGTTGGCATCTCTATGCTATAAGTGCATCTCTATGGCTTCTTCGAGTAGGAAAGCCATAGATATGCGACCTACTAGAGGGGGGCCAACTCTCAACCTCTAACATGACACGAATCGACCGCCGTGGGAGCACTAGAGGCGTCTGTCTGGAGGACATCCGTTGGCTTTTCTGCGACTTCCCGGTCGGTTTGCGCTGTGACCCCGATTCCCATCTCGAGAAACAAGAGCTCGAGCTGTTGAGAACGTTCACCTCCACTGCGGCCAGCAACTTCGCGAGCAGGCTTATGGGGGAATTTGATGGAGGAGAGAACTACTTTCGACACCACATTCGGCATGCGGAAGACCATGTCAGTCTGGGCGATGCGGTGATGGATCGCCGAGGGAGAAAGGAAGCAGAGGAGAAAAACGCTTTGATGCAGCAGGAAAGCAAACGTTTAGACTTAAGGCCCGTTCGCCTATAAATTTTATTATCATCCACTACAAGCTAAGTAGTCTAAGGCTTGTTCGCCTATAAATTTTATTATCATCCACTACTTCGAAAGGAAAAAGGATCGCTTTAAGTCTTTCTGATAAGATCGACATCGGCATTTGCTTTAATGCCAAGATAATTCAGTGCAAAAAAGAGATAGAATCCTTTAGATCGGTTTCACTACTTTTCGTCGTCCTGAATCGGTCTAGGGCAGCCCACTTCACTAGGAAGTGTTTTAGGTTAATACTGAGAGTGAGAGCTTCTCGCGACGGCGGGTTCGGTGAATAAGTTGATAGCGGGTTTGCTTCGTTTCGATCGTGTCTCCTTGGTTTATTATGCTGATGGTGAATATTGGTTGTCGCTCATCGGTTAAAAAAGGCGGTGCCAAATGATACCCACCCAGGTGCCACAAGCCCTTCCCTTTGGACTATTCGCGCATACAAATGTGTGCTTTATTAATAGTTTTCAAAAGAGCCTGAAAATGCAAAAAAGTGAGCTGATGAATGCGCAAAGGGTGACTATGTAATCCTCGTTACGGTTGGTCTGACTCCCCTGGTCCCCGTCATGATCCTGCTGTCCCGCTCAGTAGCTCCCGGCCTTTCCTTTCTTACGCACCCCTTCATTTTAGGACGTCGTTGATTGACAATGTAACTGCTGACTTCTTGGCGGTTCTGAAGCGGGGAAAGTAAGAGAACTGCAAAAAGTATCTCCTTGATAAGCCTTTTTTTGAAGGAATACAAGAGAGAAGCTCGGACAAAGAAGACCAGGCGCCAGGCACTACTACGAGCAGCTGCCACGGATTTGATTAACGGAGAGGAGGAAGAAGAGCCAAAAGGGGACGCGGTGGCGATGGAAGGGCTACAGGAGATCACACACGAGAGAGCGATGGCAATGACGCGCTTGCTTCGCAGTGTCTGCGCAGGAAATGCTGGCTGTAAGAGTTGGAGGCCCTTTGCCGTATTACCGACGAAGAACGCAGAACAATTCTAGCGCCAGGGCTGAGATTAGAAAAATCATGCTGCAAGATGATGTCTGAACGTGGGAAGAAGAGCCCAAGGTGAGGACTATGAAAATGGACTCGCCTGCAGCCAAAATGATAGAAACTAAGGCGAACGAGCTGAAAATGGTAAAGACGGCGCCACTTAGGTTCCGGGGAGTCTCCGTGGATGTGATCACTGCGATCGAAGACGAAAAAACAAGAGAGCAGCACGCCGAGGAGCCTCTTCAGGTTACCTTGCCTGGGGTAGACCTTGCTGAGGCTCCTCCGTTAGTTAAGGAGAAGGGGGCACGAGTAGCAGAGAGTTGAAAAATGTGGCACGCAATGAACACGCTGAGGAAAGAAGAAAGGCCAAGCCTTAAAGGTAGCGATGTGAAAAGAAGCACAGAGTTAGCATAGAAACTGGGCGCGTCTCTTGTTGCAGTTATGTGAAAAAACTGCATGTTTGAGACTTGGCGTGACCTCCTTGAGAAGGTCCTTGCGACGAATGCGCGTCGCTTGCTTGACTCGTGTCACGAGTCTTGTTCTCCCTTCTCTGCTGGTTTTGTGGGTGTTCGTTGACGTGCTTTGCCCGTCGTGTCTGTTAAAAACAAGTACAGACAGCTCCTGATGATGTGCCCGGATTAAACATATTGATGATCCAGAGGTCTCTTCGGCATACGCGGCATGTCACCACGTCTTTGATGTTTTTGATGTGAACCGTCTATGAACGATTGGATCCAGAAGTGCCTTAGGCTGGGGGTACATACGCAAGTAGTGTGTATAGCCGGTCAGAGAGTGGGCACAAGATGCCATCTCCTCGTGCCACATCATCGTTCCCGCACGGAAAGTTATCAGGAATTGGCCTGGATGATTGTGGAGGCAGTGGGCACCTACATGAGTTTTGCTCTAGTAGAAGTAGCTCCCTGCTCTTTCGCTTACCTCAAGGTTTGTCCAGAGCTGCCAGTATCACCGAAATACTGTCAGACCACGTCTCTACGGTCACTATGAAAGGTGATAACAGGGACAATAGCATGCATAAGTAGTAGTCCATTTTATCATTTAAGAATATCTTGTCATTAGAAGAATAGATGTCTTCCTAGTTCGCTTGGCTCCACCCGTATTATAAGAATAGATGTCTTTTTTGTGAAAAATCAAAAAAGGGGGGACCTGATTTGACACAGTTTCTGTTTGGGGATATTTGTGAGGAGAAAAGAGTTGTTGTGGGGAACCCTCCAGGATGCTTTTCCCTCCAACCTCTAATAGATGCAACACCAGGTGATCCAAGCAGTACTTCCATGAGCTTGTCGGCAGCAGAGAGCTTCCCAGACAAGGTAAGAGCCGAAGTGTCGCGACTGTCTAGGGGTTACAAATGCACGTCGCAACTCGGAAGGATGGTGAAGTGCAAAACGCTCAACTTTCATGCCAGGCAGATGGAAAGGAATTTGAGGGTACTTGACAGACATGTTGTTGGGTTCTTACATGAACGCCCACTTAGATGAAGCCCCCCACTTGGAACAAGAAGTGCCCTTCATCAAACCCAACGAACCCACTTAGAAGCCCACTTAGAACAAGAAGTGCCCTTCATTAAAGGCAACGAACTAAGCTTAGATGAAGCCCCCCACTTAGAAGAAGAAGTGCCCTTCATCAAAGGCAACGAACTAAGCTTAGATGAAGCCCCCCANACTTGGTAGTGCGACCACAGTGGTGTTCTAGAAGTAAGTCCTTATAATTGTATCGGAATAGTCAATCTATGCATAAACAATTAGCTCATCTTTGGTTCTCTAATCTTTGCTGACGGTTTGCTTCATGAAAGTCGAACAAGACTTTTCGGGCTTTTACTTGGTAGTGCGACCACAGTGGTGTTCTAGAAGTAAGTCCTTATAATTGTATCGGAATAGTCAATCTATGCATAAACAATTAGCTCATCTTTGGTTCTCTAATCTTTGCTGACGGTTTGCTTCATGAAAGTCGAACAAGACTTTTCGGGCTTTTACTTGGTAGTGCGACCACAGTGGTGTTCTAGAAGTAAGTCCTTATAATTGTATCGGAATAGTCAATCTATGCATAAACAATTAGCTCATCTTTGGTTCTCTAATCTTTGCTGACGGTTTGCTTCATGAAAGTCGAACAAGACTTTTCGGGCTTTTACTTGGTAGTGCGACCACAGTGGTGTTCTAGAAGTAAGTCCTTATAATTGTATCGGAATAGTCAATCTATGCATAAACAATTAGCTCATCTTTGGTTCTCTAATCTTTGCTGACGGTTTGCTTCATGAAAGTCGAACAAGACTTTTCGGGCTTTTACTTGGTAGTGCGACCACAGTGGTGTTCTAGAAGTAAGTCCTTATAATTGTATCGGAATAGTCAATCTATGCATAAACAATTAGCTCATCTTTGGTTCTCTAATCTTTGCTGACGGTTTGCTTCATGAAAGTCGAACAAGACTTTTCGGGCTTTTACTTGGTAGTGCGACCACAGTGGTGTTCTAGAAGTAAGTCCTTATAATTGTATCGGAATAGTCAATCTATGCATAAACAATTAGCTCATCTTTGGTTCTCTAATCTTTGCTGACGGTTTGCTTCATGAAAGTCGAACAAGACTTTTCGGGCTTTTACTTGGTAGTGCGACCACAGTGGTGTTCTAGAAGTAAGTCCTTATAATTGTATCGGAATAGTCAATCTATGCATAAACAATTAGCTCATCTTTGGTTCTCTAATCTTTGCTGACGGTTTGCTTCATGAAAGTCGAACAAGACTTTTCGGGCTTTTACTTGGTAGTGCGACCACAGTGGTGTTCTAGAAGTAAGTCCTTATAATTGTATCGGAATAGTCAATCTATGCATAAACAATTAGCTCATCTTTGGTTCTCTAATCTTTGCTGACGGTTTGCTTCATGAAAGTCGAACAAGACTTTTCGGGCTTTTACTTGGTAGTGCGACCACAGTGGTGTTCTAGAAGTAAGTCCTTATAATTGTATCGGAATAGTCAATCTATGCATAAACAATTAGCTCATCTTTGGTTCTCTAATCTTTGCTGACGGTTTGCTTCATGAAAGTCGAACAAGACTTTTCGGGCTTTTACTTGGTAGTGCGACCACAGTGGTGTTCTAGAAGTAAGTCCTTATAATTGTATCGGAATAGTCAATCTATGCATAAACAATTAGCTCATCTTTGGTTCTCTAATCTTTGCTGACGGTTTGCTTCATGAAAGTCGAACAAGACTTTTCGGGCTTTTACTTGGTAGTGCGACCACAGTGGTGTTCTAGAAGTAAGTCCTTATAATTGTATCGGAATAGTCAATCTATGCATAAACAATTAGCTCATCTTTGGTTCTCTAATCTTTGCTGACGGTTTGCTTCATGAAAGTCGAACAAGACTTTTCGGGCTTTTACTTGGTAGTGCGACCACAGTGGTGTTCTAGAAGTAAGTCCTTATAATTGTATCGGAATAGTCAATCTATGCATAAACAATTAGCTCATCTTTGGTTCTCTAATCTTTGCTGACGGTTTGCTTCATGAAAGTCGAACAAGACTTTTCGGGCTTTTACTTGGTAGTGCGACCACAGTGGTGTTCTAGAAGTAAGTCCTTATAATTGTATCGGAATAGTCAATCTATGCATAAACAATTAGCTCATCTTTGGTTCTCTAATCTTTGCTGACGGTTTGCTTCATGAAAGTCGAACAAGACTTTTCGGGCTTTTACTTGGTAGTGCGACCACAGTGGTGTTCTAGAAGTAAGTCCTTATAATTGTATCGGAATAGTCAATCTATGCATAAACAATTAGCTCATCTTTGGTTCTCTAATCTTTGCTGACGGTTTGCTTCATGAAAGTCGAACAAGACTTTTCGGGCTTTTACTTGGTAGTGCGACCACAGTGGTGTTCTAGAAGTAAGTCCTTATAATTGTATCGGAATAATCAATCTATACATCAACAATTAGCTCATCTTTGGTTCTCTAATCTTTGCTGACGGTTTGCTTCATGAAAGTCGAAGACTTCCATCTCAACTTCGACCTCAACACTCCTCTCCACCACCACAGGCTGCCGGGCGGACTTGGACAGCGTCTTTGTGCCAAAAGGACTCGGATGGAGACGGGATGAGCAATGGGTACGAGTTAGGCGATCCGTGTTGCGTGTGGACCTCAGTTAAGGCGTCCACTAAGGGTCCATCTCCAGCGCTTCTAATCTAAATCTGTAAAAAATCTACATCAAGCTAAATCTAGATCTAAATCTAGGTCCAAATTTAGATCTAAATCGACCTAAATCTAGATCTAAATCTAGATCTAAATCTAGATCTAAATCTAGATCTAAATCAAGCTAAATCTAAATCTTCCCTTAATCATCTTCTGAGGATGTCGGGGTGGGCGTCGGGGTGGATTAGGGTGAGCTCTAACTCAGGATCTAGCAGCTGGAACGGAAAGCGAACGACTGGGCTGACTTCTCCTGGACTAGCGAACAGTGGAAGTGACGTTACCACAGTGCACTCTTGCCCTGGTGGAGGCGGTGGAGGAGCCGCAACAACCACTACTCCGACTGTTACGTAAAAAACTAATTGTCAGACAACAAGATTTTCTATTACAATCTCCGACTTTTGTCACACAATGTCTCTCAGTCCTCTAATCTCTGCGCGCAAAGCACAGCGGCACCTCCGTCAGGTGGGGGCATGGGAGCGGCATCCGTTTCCGCGTCGACACGATCCGGACCAGTTTTTGTGCTGTGGAATTTACTCCTCTTCACTCTGGTTGTGAAGATTTCTGATCGGTTGTACTAGGTAGAAGACTGACGACGGACACTGTTTTTCGAGATTTTATATCTTCGAGATATTGATATAATGCCATTTTTGATAGAGAAGATTTTTATGTATTGTAAGAACCGCAGTGCAGTTCAGTTGTTCCTGTTACATGCGATTTTTGATAGTAAGAACCGCATTGCAGTTCAGTTCTTGTTCCTGTTTGTTACAACATGTGGACATGCGTATTATTTCTATCGGAAGAAAAGAAAGCACTCTCACTTGTGAAGATTTTTGAGAGTGCAGTTCTAAGTCGACTGTGTAGGAGGAATCACTCCTCAAATAGTTCCTTCTTGTATCATATCCAATGGAGGACAACTAGTACATTTCTGTTAACAACATTAGAAAAAGGTAGAGTCATTAATTGCTTGTGAAATGTCATGGACACAGCGGTCTTGGCAATATCGTCGAATGTTATTTTTAAGGACAAGCTGTCTTGAAGATGGTGTCGTGGCGTAGTTCATCGGCACTCGTCACAACATTGGATAGCCTTGCTCTTTGGTAGTGAAGCCCACTATTTTTGATTTTTGACGAGGCAAAAGTACTACAGAAGATATAGTACTAAAGATGCTCCAAACACAATTGAAACTCGAACTGTTGTTCTGCACAGAGTGTCTGCACATTGTGGATCTGCACTTTGTGGACTAGGCGAGAGGGCCACTCGGTATGAGCAATTGTATGCGCGTCTTTCGAAGGACGCAGTATCTCGCCCAAAGCACTCCTCTGCATTTCGCTCATTATTTCATGACTCCTATTGATTTTGACTTGTAGATTGATCCCACAGGCAACGTGAGGGTTGTAACAGCTACAACTCCAGAATGATGAGGCCCTCTAGTAGCTGCTCGTTTCCTCTAGTACCTGTGCCACTTTTTTCGGGTACTCGGTCGGCGGGTACTCTCTTTTACAGCAGTTTTTCGAGCGCTTCTTCCACTACCACGACGAGCGTTTCGTCGAATGTTAAGATTTTACATGCAATACTCTGTTTGTTATCGCCATCAACTACATTTGAAATTGACACCTTCATCCTGCTTCCAGCAGTGTTTAAGTGTTTTTTTATGCAGAAATGATTGATTCGGGATTCCCTCTCACACCTTCATGCATCCAGCAGTGTTTATGCAGAAACGGTTTCGCAGGGAACGAGAAGGACAGATGGTTGCGAAGCTGAAAAGGATACTGAAAAAGGCGAAAAAAATAGCGTTCAAACAAGGTCAAGACGAATTGGACCTGAAACGCAAGAACGAAATCGGAAAGACGGATCTGGTCTTACGTCAAAACTGTTTTTTTTCATCGTTTCGTGTGCGTGGTTTTCTTTTCACGCGGCGTTGAGGTGTAGTTTCTGGGTCAACATTGTTGTGTCCTGATTACATGATTAGATTGTGTCTCATAAAAAGCAATCACTGATAGGTTCGCTAATGACCATATCTATAAATATCTAACGTTCCGAAGTGCTCCTGACCCTGAAGCTTTGGTGCGCAAGTGTGTGGAGTTTGTTCGCCCAAAGATAAAACCCATTCTAGGCTGTGAAAAACCGGTGCCGGAATGCGGAAGCACGTGTATTATGCTTCCTTTTGGTAAGGGTCTTTGATTTGTGTAATTTAATCTGTGTACTTTTATGGTTTGTTTTTGAAAGGTTCTTCATAGTTGGAAGAATTTGCTTAGAGTACTAGCATCTGTTTCGCCTCAGTAATAGCCACCGGCGCATTAAAGTAGTGACGTAGCAGCTGGAGTTCTTTTTACTCATGAAATACTAGTCCTCCAGTTCACACCTGCTCTAATCCCAACATGAAAACTTCCTCTGCTAGCGAAATGATACCATCTAGGCGTGAGTTGTCTCAGGGGAGAAAGATTTATCAAAGCAAGCTGCAAGAGGCGATGGCCAAAAAAAAAGCGTCGAAAGCTTTTAATTATGGACTGAACGGGATTCTTTTTCGTAGACCTAATCTCTACTGCGAGAACTAGGGGACGAGGTTAGTCTTTCTCGCCTAGGTTCGGATGGCCAAGGGTTCTTCTTAGTCCTCTGCGTAGGGTCTTCTTAGTCCTCTGGGTCCACAATGAGGGACGACAGGGGTACATTTAAGGGCAGCGATGGGGTTTGGTTCATCTTATTTTAGCGATCATTGATATTTTCCTTAGAGGTTGATTTCTTTCTTGGAGACATTTATCGTCACTCTAAGAGACGTTAGCGGAGCATCCGGCAAAGTCCTCAGCTCCAGCAAGATCCGCAGGTGCTCACGCTGCGTAGAAGGTTACATTTCGTAGTTTGGTAGAGGCAGTTGCAAGAATTTCATGTTTGGATAGGAGGCACTACCTCACTGAATGGCCTCACATGTAGGCGGTGGCGTGTAGGCAGTAGGACACCAAAAACAAGTGCTATGAGCAAGGTACCATGACATGGCAAGCAAGTTGGATTCTGTGCTGTTTTTTTTGTTATAGACCTAGCAAAAAGAACAGCATGCATTTTTGAATGTTCATTTTCAGATTTGATACAGAGTGCGTTCTCGATCATTTTCAGGTCTAATAGAGACAGATTACGACTGAATGCCAGAACGAGTCTTGATTAAGAAGGTCAGAATGCAGGGTGGTGGCTTCCGCTCTATTTTTGTGCTTCCAGAGCGAGTGGCTCGAGTGGATGATGTCAGTATCACATTTGGCATGAGGTGCCTTGTCTCTGACCTGCAGTGTTCTAGTACTACAAGAGTTTCCACCTATTCAGAGGACAAAAGTAGAGTTGGTAAGAGGTAGAGTTAGTAAGTAGGTTACACACTAACTCGAGGAAAAACATCGGGAGAACTCAAAGAACGCCAAATACTGGACTTATAGAGATGCATTTTTCATCTGTTTGAGGCGTGAAGCATATATCGGTGTCCGCTTGAGTATGAAGAGATCGGTTTGCGCTATCGTATCTTCCTTGCAACATTGTATCTACCCCCAAATCTACTTCCAAATCTACCTCCAAATCTACATCCAATAAAGTTGTAACTCCAAATCTACATCCAAGTGACTACCTCCAAATCTACATCCACTAATACCTCCAATTGCGTCTCGCATGACCATATCTCTGGGAGTTGAAATGAATAGATAAAGTTAGTATGATCGAGATATTAGAGATTTCTTATGCAGCCATCAAAGTCAATCAATCGATCAAAAGTCACTCAGTCAATGAGTCGACCAATCAATCAATTAATCAACCCATCAACCAATCAATCAGCCAATCAATCAGCCAATCAGCCAATCAATCAATCAATCAATCAATCAATCCATCAACCGACTCATAGCTTACGTTCTTCCTCGAACAACTGTTAGGTTTCCATTCACTGTTAGGTTTCCATTCGGAAATCATACATAGAGTCGAGTCAGAACCACACCCACACCCAAACGAGCATAGATACATACAACAACTAGGAAATCACAAGGACTACATCCCACACCCACTACACTTGCACACTTCACACACTGAAAAGATGGTTCGCGCAGTGACAACAATCGGATTACTGTACTACCTCGAGCAGGGAGCGGGTCACAGCAATCTTCCTCGATCTCCAGGAGAAGGTGGAGGACCGTTGTCTGGAGAAGGAGGACTGTTCTTGGGAGGACAGTTCTTGCAGTTGGAACAATATTATGCATGGGTTAGAAATGGTTTACACGGGTTTTTTAGTGTTGGATCTTTTTATAGCTGACTCATCTTTGACTCTTTCTTTGTGCAGATCAGCCACAACACGATGGAGAAGGACTGGGTCAGTCAATCGTCTACATCTGGGTTACAACCTTATAATATATATAACCTAACCTAATCTAACTCTTGTGCAGGATCCATAATCTAGCCTAACCTTTCTAGGTGAATATTACGACAAGAATACTATGCTCATTTCTAGTACTGTATTCTCTTTCAACTTCCTGGTTTGGCCCACAGTAGGATGCTGACAATGGCTTGCATAGGTTCTGTCCACCTGTGTGATGCACCTAGGGTCTTCTGGGATCCACCTGTGTCTTCTGGTAGTACAGGACAACGTTCTTGTATTGATACAGCATCTATCCTCACGTCGCTATCAATCCTCAATGTGCAGGATCCCTAACAATCCTAACCTATCCTGACCTATCCTAACCTATCCTAACCTATCCTAACCTATCCTAACCTATCCTAACCTATCCTAACCTATCCTAACCTATCCTAACCTATCCTAACCTATCCTAACCTATCCTAACCTATCCTAACCTATTCTTACCTATCCTAACCTGTCCTAACCTGTCCTAACCTGTCCTAACCTGTCCTAACCTGTCCTATCCTATCGCGTCCTATCCTATCCTATCCTGTCCTAATCACGTGATCCCTGACGTAACCTAACTCAATGAATCCCACCACGTTCGTGCAGGATCCGTGACCTAAGCTAACCTAACCAAAAATCCTGACATTCATATTATCAGAGAACAAGCGACGAATACTTCCTCCTCTGCAACGAGCTTTCTGAAATTGTCGCAAGATGGGGGACGAGGTACACTCAAAGCTGATGATTTAGTACTTCTTTATTACATGATCTTCGTCAGCTGTAGAAGATCTTCGTCACCTGTAGAAGAACCCCCATCATCGTCTTCCAATTTATCATCGTGCCCCACGATTATCCCCATGAATATGAAACACACGATACAGGTGCGTCAGATAAGGAGCGCAAGAAGACGCCTACATGTGAGAAGAAACGGCACCAAGGTAAGAAGCGGCAGAGTCGTGATTCCTCAGGTGTGGAATTCACAGAGATTTGCGTTAAGAACGGGAGTAACGTCGAGTGGAAAAGTGAAAAGGAACATCAGAAGATGCTGCGGGCGAACAAACGAGACGCAAAAAAAGTGTACTGTCATTGTTCAATCAGAAAAACATCATGACTAGTGTACTGTCGTTGTTGACTTAGACTGATTCACTTCTTAATCTTAAATTGGTAGCCCTTCTTATACAAGATTATCTTCTACAAAAAAAAGAATCTTCTCAGGAGCAATTTGATTTTCCCTCAACTATGAGGACTTGTTATTTCGTAGACACGGAGTAGGCCAGATCTCTGAAAAAATTTCAAATGCATTAATTCGTAGAAGTTCCGTTAGAAAAACTAAAACACATGATGATACCTATGCAGGGCAAAGCAGCTGGCTTATGTGGAACAACATCATGCCGGCAAGAAGCGCATACGTGTGGGAGACGGTTCAAATGCGGCAGTTATGAGAAAATGTTGACTCTCTTACTCCTACAACTACATGTTTGTAGAGAAGTGTATGATATTGACAAACATCGAACGTTATAAGATAGAACGCATCATCAAAACAATAGACAAATTCCTAGAAAATGCGCGACACTAGAAGAACTTTGACAATTCAGGTGCATTTGCTGTTAAGATGCGGGTGTGCTTCTTGCTAGTCTTGCTTGTTTTCCACTACTTTCCTTCCTTGTCGCATGAGCCTCACTAGTAGTGTTGCTTATTAGTCCCCTTTTTACCGGTCTTACTAATCTAACCTAACCTAACCTTACCGGTCTTACTAATCTTACGTGTGACTTGACAGATTTCCTATTTAGAGGCGTCTTGCGTCTTGTAGTTGTTGATGTGAGATTTGTTGCCATAAAATAGGACTCCTCCTGCAGCACGGTGAAGAAAGCCTGCCTCCTGGTGCTATCCGATCCTACACATAGTTACAACATCATCCTATCGTCCCATAGATGATCCTCTTCCAATATATTAGATTATATCGTTATCCCATCCTATCGCATTCATCCCTAGCATGCTATGACGATACAGTTTTGCTGTCGAAAATGCGTAAATACTTACTTAAAATAAATACGACGCACCACGGACAGACGCAACAAAAATATATAATATAGCTTATTCTCGTCATTCTTCTGAGATCAGTATATGACATCACTCAGCACCTCTGTCATCGGGTGTGTAGCACTTTCTCCGATGTGCCCCTCTCTCCGCGAAGTGGCGACTTCAAAATCCTCACGATGGTTATAGTAAATACCACTACTATTTTTCGAACATAAAAACGATTCACACGCATGCGATCAAAAAGTTCCAAAATATAAGTCACGCACGAGCATCATGATGCGCTAATGTTATATAAATGCTCATCCCAATTATATAAATGATCTCCAGCTTCTGAAGGTATGTTGTCTAATAGCTGCAGCGACAAAGACCGAGTACTAAAAGTCACGAGTGACTCGGACCCCCTTCTGATGGGAGAGAAAAGAGGACAGGACATTGCGGCAGCGCGGATGTCGTTAAAGAGTGATCGCTCTTTAGATGACGACCTGTTAGCCCAAGTACTTCTAGAATCTTTTTTTTATTCTTTGGTTGCACTATTCTTGGATGTCCTGCTAATGTCCATCATGATCATGTCGAAGCAATAAACTCGGAATCCTTGTTTTTTAAGAGGTAAACTCTAGATTTGCAAGGAAGATCTTGTCTATTTATCAATGGCCTTTCACGCTCCCAAACGTGCACCCAAACGTGCGATTCCCACACGTTCCTCAGGCAGAGGAGGAGATAGCGAAGGCGGACAGGGTGACAGCTGCTAGGGAGGGAAGAAGAAGAGGTCTGCCGCGTGCGGACGGGAATGGATACGCCAAGCGCCACAATTTCCGACTCGAGAGCGAGCCTCCGTACGGTATTAAGCACGGTCTACCAGCGGCGATAGGGCCTCTAACGAAGCTGCCTCCGGAGATGCACAAGCTGCAGAAGCGGCTCGACGACAGAAGCGGACGAGCAGCAGTACTTATCGAGTTATCTCGTCGCTTTTCGTCTAAGTAACGCATTTCGTTCTTCTTAGTCTCTCGACCAGAGTGAAGAATGGACTTGCATACAGAATACATTTTTCTCCTCTACTTGTGTTTCAAAACAGTTTCACCCGTTGGGTCGATCCGCGTCATTTCCGCCGCGTTCTTTTTTGGAGACCAGTTTGGACCGTGTGGGCAGGTACCTGCGCTACAATGCTGGGGCTTCTGCCTCTGGTGCCACGCGCTATGATCTGTGGACGGAGCATGCGTATGATCCGTGGATGGAGCATGCGTTTTGGGCCTTTGCGTTCGTGGCTGCTTGCATGCTGTTAAGGCAAGTAGCTACAGTTAGCACCCCTCTATAGATACTGTCTCCTATATAAAGTAACGGGCATTATACTGTCAGGTATCCGACAGAGGTTTGTGATGCTGAGAGGGTTATTCCGAATACTACGCTTACTCAACAACACGTTTTGTGCGTTTTTCGTATTTCAGATTCATTTCAGATTCAATCAGCGACTCAGTTCTATCGTACCGATAGTGGTAATAAAAATACGTAATGTCCGTCTATCCAGTGATTACTTGAAAGCGCTAATTTACTTGCTGGCCGTTCTCTGCGTCGCGACTGGTTCAGCGAAGAAGGTGATGGCGCATGCCGCGAACGAGAAATTTCCTTATGTATCGGCATCGTCATCCTTTATCATTCAATTCTCATCGTCAGCACTGTCAGATTACCGAAAGTTGCTAGACAAGTTCGCCGCACCGGTCGTCTAATATTTTAAGCTTACTCGAGTCGACTTCTGCTTATCCTCCTGTACTTGTAAAAGTCAGATACTGGAGTAGTACGGTCATACTTTAGACAAGTCTCAGCGCTTTAGGTAGAAACGCAATCAGAAAGCCTCTAACTTCGTCGCGAGACCGTGGATGATCCCTTTGCATCGCGTTGCGAAGGCTATAAAGCTCAGAACGAGCGGACCGTGGACGATTTATTTGCTTCGTCGTGCTGCGACGGCTCTATCGCTCAGAATGATGCGGTTGACACGTGCAAGCAGGTACTAAAACCTAGAAAAGTTCTTTTGATCTTCTTGTTGTCACGCTAGAGCAAGGCCACTTATCAAAGTGGGCTACCTATGAACATGATTCACCATGGTTTTTCGTCAAATTCATCTTCTTGGGAAGTAGTTTTTTCAATTCCTCGTTCAAAAATCATGATAGATAAGTATTTATTTTTATCCAATCAACCTGCAGGGCACCAGTGGAGCGGCTGGCTGCCACGCTAGTATGGATCCAGGGAAGAAATTTCTGGCGCATGCGGCGAACGACAAAACACCTTATGGAAGGACCATGATGATTCTACACCATAGAACTATTCCGAATAGGTCTATGAACGCTGTTCATGAAAACAAGACTCATGCAACATCAAGGTAGTTCGCAGGTTGTCCGAGAGTGTGGCTCTTGGACCACAATGTCGCATCGTCATCATCATCCTTTGGTACTCCACTCTCATCGTCATCATCTTTACATAATGAAAGGTGTTAGATATGATTACCGAAAGATCCTGTTAGACTGCTTCCCCTGATACTGTAGTCGATTTGATGTTATTGTCCTGTACCTGTCATGATCAAGTAAACGAGTACTGTCTGATGTTAATGCACTGTAGACCTATTTATTTCAGTACTCGTACTTACTCTAGGTATTGTTATTAAACTGTAGCGCCAATTTTCAGTACTTCTACTTGATAGGCGGGGATGTGGGATGTGCTGCACTTTAGGTGTTGAACAACAAGGACGCCTCTAATGTGTTCTGAAGAATGTGGATCCCAACTTCGTTTCGCCTTACGCAGGGTATTGCGGTGGCGGTCAGAACAAAGCGGCTGACAAGTGCAGGAAACACGTACTAACCTAGAAAGTATTTGATCTCCTTGCTGTCACGATCAATCAAAGCCACACCTTTTCCCATCGGGGTCGAGTACTTACTCATGAAAATGATTCACCATGCTTAGCTTGTTGAGCAGTAGTTTTGTCTACTAGCACAACTAAAAAGGTTCTGGTATTATATGATGAATCTATCTTCTTCTGACGTGCCTTAAAATCATAAATGTGTAATCACACCTACGCAAGGTATCTACTCTCGCTGATGCGGCTTCTGTGCATGACATGGGCAGTAGTGGAACGGTTAGCCGCCATATTGGGATCGGCGCAGCAATGTAGAAGACTTGTACTGTAATTTGGGAGACGGGTAGTCGCCTCATGGTAGAACATTTAGGCGACAAGAGTTATGTTACTCTTCTTGACACGTTGTAGGGAGAGTTGTGTTACTATTGACGTAGGGAGCTACGTGGCTGTTGACGTAGGAGGAGCAGAGACGGGGAGTCGTCTCATGGTAGAACAAGATAGCTTAGTATGAATGTTACAGTACTGAAACCAGAGGTGAAGGGTGACACGTGACGCAGAGTTTTTTCGATTTGATTTGTCGTTTGAGAATGAATACAACAGAAATACGAATTTATTATAGATGTGGGAACTTATTATTTAATGCAGCAGTGAGTCTGAATTTCCATCGTGGCAGTCAGAATGGATTGCTCGTTGAGAGTATGTGCATATATTGGATGTAACATCAAACATCATGAAACTGGTAGCACTCAATGGATAAGGCCGAAGGAATGCATAAGAAAACTCGACCAAGTCGCAATGTACTTTAGAAAACAGTAGAAAGGAACTACTCGGGAAATGTTGAAGATTTATCTAGATGGCTACTGAAACAAACGCCGTAGAAATATCAAACATGATCTATCTAAATGTACGTAGATATTTATTGGGAATCCGACCGTCAGAATTCAAGAAGCCAAATTGCACAGGGAGTTGAAAAAAATATGTTGTACTTGTATCCGCGTTTTTTGGTTCCTCGTCCATGATGATGGAGGCTGTTTAGTAAAAACTGTATATTAGAGTCTGCTTGTGAACACTAGGACTGCTTATTTACACCCTCAAGGTGGTGCGTTTTTTATACAATTGCCGGCCTGTTTCATTTGTGCAAGTCGTGAAGGTTTTGCATGATTCTCATGCGGTTGCAAAGTTGTCAAATGTGTGGACCTTCTTGCTTACAGGTAACACCATAAGGATCCACATCATTGGCGTGGCATTTCAGTGCTGTGACCTTTGTCACCATGGGACTGCAATGATTTCCATAGCGTGCATGTTGATAATCTTCATACTCATACGACGAGGATCGTCATCTTCTTCGCCTTCTTATTCTTCTGATATTTGCGGAACGGGGGAACTGGATCAGAGTCGAATGAAAACTGTATAGGGTGAGTCGCTGAGTCATCATTTACCATTTGCTGCACACATCATAATCACGTCGGTCATTTAAGAATTCTGCGCTGTTGCATAGAGGGGTTTAACTATATGTAGAGAGTCAACCTATGAAATCTACGCAACAAGAATGCATATTTTGGTGAAGTTGGAGATGCGAAGGGTTAGTTGAAGGCACGGAAAAGATAGCCTAAAAGTGTCTGTAAATGAAGAGTATGTGTAAACAGAGTTTTTCTTGGCTCGAGCCCGAACAAGGGATGGGGTGCAAGACGAATTAAAATACAGAAATGGGCGCAGCGTTGCCCCGTTGTGTTAGTACTTATTCGAACCAAGAATAATTTTCCTAGAATGTAATTCTAATTGAATAGGGGACGGGAAGATCTATCTAGATGTCTGTAGTACCGAGTATGCCTGTAAGAAGTAGATATTGGCATCCAAGAAAACAATAGATATGAGGAGTTCGACGAGATATGTATTCGCTTTTTTTTTTGGTTCTTCATCTCCTCAATGGTAGGGGTTTCTTAACATGAGGAAGGGGCGTACAGAGTAATTGTGACCTACGTGGGCGTACAGAGTAATTGTGACCTACGTTGTACACAGAATATTGCTTGTTTGACACTTAAAACCATTATGCCACTGCTGTACATCAATGTGATTGGATTATTATCTTCAAGAGGAAAATGAGAGGACTCGGTGGATGTAAAAAGCCCGACGTGGATGTAGAGGAACTGCTCCGACGTGCTGGACTCGGTGGATGAGAAAAGAGGAATGCTTCTCCGACGGATAAAAGACGTGGAGGACTCGGTGGATTTAAAAAGAGGAATGCTTCTCCGACGGATAAAAGACGTGGAGGACTCGGTGGATTTAAAAAGAGGAATGCTTCTCCGACGGATAAAAGACGTGGAGGACTCGGTGGATTTAAAAAGAGGAATGCTTCTCCGACGGATAAAAGACGTGGAGGACTCGGTGGATTTAAAAAGCCTTGCTGTGAAAGACGATACAAGACAACACCTCCCTGCCATGTAGACCAGGTTCTGTGGATAAATCATCAGTCAAATTCATATTTTCCTGCTATTATAGGTGGACTTTGAGAAGACCACGAAAAAAACTGTGCTGCTTAACAAGTATGTGTACTACCGACAGAGAACACGCGACGAGGGACTGGAACGAGAGAACGAAAAGATAATGACGAGAAAAATTAATATAGATTTATGAGAGGAGACACTGCACGAGACGAGGATTCCTGTAGATCTCAAAAGCTAAAAAATCGTAAGTGTTTCTGTATAGCATGTTTCTGACGACTCTACTCCGACGTGTTCACAAAAAGCTTCTTATCGTTTCGATTCATCACCAGCAGAGTAAGCAGAGGATCGGTAATATGGAAAACTCATCTCCAATCTTACCTTCCCCGAAGTCACCTCCTAATACACCCTAAAATTTTTCCTGCGCGCGCATGATCAAATGGTGAAAAAATACAAAACAAAATCAGTCTTTTGCCTTAGGTTGAGAATTTTTTAACGTCTATTGTCATGGTCCAGCGACGTCGACGCTTATAGAGCAGTAACTTTCCTCTATAAAGCAGCTTAGAGCAGTAAATAAAGAGCAGTTCGTTTTTCCTCTATCCCTTCATGCAAAGCGTCTATTGTCATGGGTCGTTGAAAATTGTCCAAACCCAACCAAGCGCAATCCGTCTCCTCAACCCAAAAAAGATAGGACTGCTTTTAAACTAGATTCCTTATATTGGGAAGATAGCTTTTACCACGGGTAGAAAAACAACTTTTACTACAACGGTTGATAGAAGAACCACAACGGAAACGTCGGACATACCTCATCATAATACACCAATCTACGAACAACATACGACAAACAACTACAACATTGAGGACATCGACATCTTTCTGAACAAGCATACTTACTATACCAAGAATATTGGGGATATCTACATCTTTCGCAGAAAGCATACTACGTACATCAAAGAGAATACATCAGATTCAACTGATACATTAAGGATAAGGAACACTCACATCAGAAAATGGCATCTCGCATCGGATTTATCTGCGCCGGCCTCGGATTAGTGGCGGCGGAGGAAAGGCGCTTCTTGCTGCGTGGCCTAGCTAGCAAAGAGCGTTCGGCGGGAGCTGCCAATCCCAATTATGGTTATTGTAGTTGTAGCCACGATCACGAGGTTCCAATCTTCGAATAAATTTGAATTTGTACCACTCTCTAATATTAATATGTCCAATTATTTCTTAAATCTCAATAGCAACTTCTGCTGCTCTTCGTTATGCTAAGAAAGTCCCCAAACGTGACGAGTCCAACCATTTAGTGCTCATCAATCATGCTAAGTCAGTAGTACCCGCTTGATCTAGTCCCTCATCACGCTAAGTCAACAACTTCATACTAGTACTCAGTACCTTCGGTGGTCTCTCATTCTAGTCCCTCACTCTAGTCCCTCCATCTAGTCCCTCAATGTAGGAGTTCCCTCACCTCTTTCATACGGCTGACTTCCTCGACAACAATGCAACGATCTTGCGCAAAAATGCTACGGCTGATGGAACGACATTTCTGGACGTACGTCCAAGTAGTCGAAGACAAGCAGAAGCAGAAGCAAAAGCAGAAGCAGCAAAAGCAGAACCACAAGCAGAATCACAAGCAGAACCACAAGCAGAAACACAAGAAGCAAACGCAAATGAGGGTACTGATCATTTGGTCTTCTAATAGAGATCGAAAGTCCAATACCTTCTTTTGTCAGATTTGGTCTATAACGTTACTAACGAAATAAACCTCTCACTGATCAAATTTCGTATCTTGTTTCGTTTGGAATCATAAAGAACAACGCTTCATGTCGTTTCAACATACAAACTTTATTCTTTTTCCAAGATGAGCAAGAAAATCATAGTCACAGTCATCGTTACCCGCCAACTCTTTCATATCTCTGGCGACTTCTTCTTGTACAATGAATACAGCTACGGCATCTATGACAGGAACAGCGACATCGACCAGGCGAAGACGTCGAAGACGAAGTAGTGCCACCGAAGCAGGGCGTGCAGCTGAATCAGAGGGTACTGACCATTTGATCTTCTAATAGAAATCGAAAGTCTAATACCTTTTTTCGTCAGTTTTAACGTTACTAACGAAAACCTCTCACTGATCAAATTTCGTGTCACCACAGTTACCCAACTCTTTCATATCTCTGGCGACTTCTTCTTGTGCAATACAGTTCCGGCATCTGCGCCAGGATCTGCGCCAACGCGCGTGGCGGGTATGGATCCTCCTTCTGAGACTCTGGATGAGAAGCTGGAGAAGATAACTGCTGAGGAAGCGAGCCAGCGCCAGCGTACTGATCACTTGATCTTCTAACAGAAATCGAAAGTGCAATACCTTCTTTTGTCAGTTACTACCGAAAACCTCTCACTACTAAAATTTCGTATCTTGTTTCGTTTGAGAAGAACAACACCTCATGTCGCTCCAACATAGAAACTTATTAGTTTGCTTAAAAATTTGATGCACAATTTAAATTTTCCCAGTTTGCAGCCAGATATATGATGCCAAATTTCAATTATGGGAATGAAATTATGTCGGTCAATGTTCGGAGGCTGTTAGCGTGTAATAATTATGACTTGGCGGCATAATTTGACTTGGCTGTCAGCGTGTAGTAATTACTAGACTTGGGCGCCCGGTAGCACTCCTCCCACTAGGATCATCCACCCCCGGCACGCACTTCCTTAATAATTCCAGCGAGATTCCGCTTCCCCGGCTCCTCCCCCGCCCGCCAACCGTCTGGCGGCGTTGATCGTTGGGGCAAGAGCTGGGCGGGGGACGGCGTGCGGCCATTGATTAAAAAGGTACAGACCGAAGCCGCTGGCTTGCTGGTGTGCTCTTCTTTTGGTAGGTTCGGCCTCCTTTGCGTGCAGGTTGCAGCGCTCGAGCTTGCAGCTTGTCGGGGTTCCTCCTCTTGTGATACAATCAAAGACTTCGGATGGGAATTTTTCAAGCTTCGCCGCTATTGGATATAGTCAAAACTTTGGGCCCTCGGTCTCAAGTTTGAAGCTTTGAGATTTTGGGGCGCGGCGTTTAATCTTAAGCGTTCAGCCTTGGGCCTTTAGCCTGGGGCCTTCAGCTTCGCGCTTTCAGTTTTGAGCCTTCAGGCTCAGCCTTGCGCTTTCCGTCTTGAGCTTTCAAATTTATTTTAACTTTGGGCGTTCAGGTTCAGCTTTGGGCTTTCGGCTTTGCGCTTTCAGTTTGGGGCTTTCGGCTTCGGATCCTCAGCTTGGGGCTTTCAGCTTTGGGCGTTCAACTTTGGGCTAGCAGCCTTGGGCTATCGGCTTTGGGGCTTCGGCTTTGGGCTGTCTGGTGTGGGCTTTCAGCTTGACAGTTTAGGGCTCCAAGCTAACCAATTCCCGGGCCTTTTTTCAATTTTATGTTTGAGGCCATTCAAACCGTAAAGGCTTTGGCCTTGTCGCGCAAGTTTTAGAATTAGTGCCCATCTGCGTGAGCTCAGGGCTTGGAACGAACAGGGGAGGCTGGGAGAGTTGGGAAGGCTAGGAAAGTTCTGAAAAGTTGGGAAAATCTTCGAAAAGTTGGGGACGTTAAGAAAGTTGGGAAAAGCTGGGGAAGTTCGAAACGCTTGGGGAGTTTGGAGAGCTCGGAAAGTTAGCAGGGCCGCGAAAAGCCGCGAAAAGTTGTGAAGACAAAGCTGCGCAAAGTTGGGAACGTTCAGACAGTTGGAAAAGCTGTGAAGAGTTGCGAGAAGCTGGGAGACTGACAAAAGCTGGGAAAAGTTCTGAAAAGTTGCGCAAAGTGTGAGAAGCTGCGAAAAGTGCCGAAAAGTTGGGAAAAGGTGCCGTGGGAAAAGCTGGGAAACAAAAGCTGGGAAAAGTTGGGAGAGCTGGGAAGACTGGGAAGGTTGGGAAAGTTTGGGAGGCTTGGAAGTTTGGGGAGCTTGGGAAGCTTGGGGAGCTTGGGAAGCTTGGGAAGCTTGGGAAGCTTGGGAAGTTTGGAAAGCTTGGAAAGCTTGGAAAGCTTCGAAAGCTTCGAAAGCTTCGAAAGCTTCGAAAGCTTTGAATGCTTGGGAAGTTTGGAAAAGTTGGAAAGCTTGGGGAGGTTGGAAAGCTTGGAAAATTTGGAAAGCTTGGAAAGCTTGGAAAGGTTGGAAAGTTTGGAAAGTTTGGAAAGCTTGGAGAGCTTGGAAATTTTGGAAAGTTTGGAAAGTTTGCGAAGCTTGGGAAGCTTGGAAAGCTTGGAAAGCTTGGAAAGTTCGGAAAGTTCAGAAAGTTCGGAAAGTTCGGGAGCTTGGAAGTTCATGGGCCAGAAGTGGAAGGCTGAGAGCTCGGCGGGGTCGTTGCTGTTTTTTACTTTAGCGCTTTATAATACTAGGGAAGTTGCTCCTCTGGACCCCACGTGGCAAATATAGTGGGCTAGGAAGTTCCTCTTTACTGCAACAAGATTTTTTTAGCTTCCTTGACTATTTTGAAAACGAGAAAGAGAGAAGAAAAACGCTCAAGCAGCTTGAGAGGCTCAAAGAGTTGCAACGTCGAACGCGAACGAGAATAAGAGTGGGCGCTGGTTTTTGTTGTTGTTGCATTTTTTTAAGATGTGAAAGCCTTTACGCGTGTACAGTAACCCGAGGCCTTACCTGGCTCAGCCCGCCAGAGTAGCAAGCCAAGCCACGAACCCGAGAGGGCTCGCCGCTGCCGTTTCCGCCGCGAGCCCGATTCGGCCCCGTCTTGCATGCTTCGGACAA